GACAGTTTATTTCTGTGAAACATGCTCGCGTCAACCTGGACTACATCCTCGTATTTGCTTCAAAAAGTACCACACTCTGACACAATATAGATAAACAGCATTTTTTTTTACATTTTTCAAACACTTTTTCACAATAAAAATGAATTAAACATATGGTATGTTCTGTTACTTGCTTGTTACAAGAGCGAATGTAGCCCACGTAAGTTGTGCATGTTTTTTTCCAAAAAATATTCCGACCTGGCAACAAGTCAGGTCTAATAAAATTTGGACCTGAAAAGGTTAACAAATAAATTGCTACCTACGTTTGTTTTTGTTTCTATGTTCTCAAGTGGGATGCGAAACACGTTTCCTTGTTTTGATCTGCTGCAGGTGGAAAAAAAAAGACGGACGAACTCCCCTTTACAGGACATCGCATATGGATCCTTGCATTTCTTGGCCTTTATTTTACTAAGCAATATTACGGTCACTAGTGTGTCATTGCTTGCTAAACGGCTCCACGCTCATACTGTTGTTGCAATTAACCAAAATCCACTTGCTGCCAATAAAAAAATGAAAAAGTAAAGGACCCTTTTCCACGCCTTTAGGCATATAGGGCTAGACCTATATTTTTATAGAACAATCGGCACAAGATGGGTGATGTGGTCAGCATCACGCCGGCCGCCTTTACTTTCCCGGGACTGCACCTGGTACCCACTCAAGGCTGGGTCAACCTGTGAGCCAAGGTCATTTTTGAAAAAAGTCCAGCTCTGCCAGGGAGCGAACCCACAATCTTCCGATCCGCGGCGAGCGTCTAACCGCTCGGCCACGGCGATCCCTTGCTGCCAATAAGTCTACAGTTAAATGTGAGCACTTATACACGGTGGAAAGGGGGGGGGGGGAGGGATGGAACACTTATAGGTTACACCCTTATGCTAAGATGTTGATCCGTTGTTCAAAACCTCAAAGGGAATTACTAGAAGTCCTCGTGAAGAAATCCCAGCCTTCACCGGGGTTCGAACCATGGATCTCCAGCAGTCGAGGCGGACACCATGCCTCGAAACCACTCATTTCCCAAACAAGATCCATATGTTTAAGGAATGGGTCTCAGACCCCAGCACATTTCTGAGACTGGGTGAATCAGTGGCACTTAGCCTACCCATGTGTTGGGTTGGGGTTTCATGATGCACTCTATGCAGGGGAGGGCACTAAACACTGTGCCGCCGTGACGTACATATATAGATCACGTGGGCTGATGAAACCAGAAGAAGCCTTGGAGAAGCAAAGGACACTCAATAGTTTGGCACCATTGAACATATGTCAGTGCATTAGTTCAGTCCAGTGTCCCGACTATGAACAAGTCAGGATCGCCATTGCCAGACTGAATTACAGTTAAGCTCGATAGAGGAATGTTAGGAGGGGTGACAGTGAAAATAATAAAGAGAAGAAGAAGGACAAAGGCGGAGAACAATAATAATAAAAATTAATAAAAAAAATAATAATGACAAGAAAAAGAAAGAAGAGAGGAGGAGAAGAAGAAGCAGAAGAAGAAGAAGAAGGAGGAGGAGGACGACGACAATGACGAAGCAGCAGCAGCAAATTCAGAAGCAGAAGGAGAGGAGGAAGAAAAATAACAGGAAAAGGAAGAGTAAGGAGGAGGAGAAGAGAGAAGGAAACTGCACCCACGAGCCGATCAGAGGTTAAGTTGTAATGAAAATGTTGTACTTTTCTAGCAACCAGATAAGCTTCATCATGAAAGACATTTATCAAGATTGATGATTACTGGAGTTGTCTGCACAGCTGAAGAGTTACTTCCCTTGCATTTCAGAACTAATCCTTTCCCACCTCTCTTTCTGTCTTACACTCTCTCCCCCTTACAATCACTCTCTCATTCTCTCTTCCTTTATCTTTTTAACTTTCTCACCCCCTCTCTCATTCACTCTCTTTCTGTCTCTCTCTCCCATCCCCCTACCTTCAAATGGTAGACGGGCTTACGTGCCCACTTTGTGACTTTTTGAAAATATAGTTTGTTCGTTCTTTTATTGACTCTGTTTCTTCCTCCCCACTCTCTCTCCACAATATGTACATAGGATTTCATGACTATCTCATGTATTTTACTTATTTCTTTTCAATTGCTCATCTCTTAGGGACCCTGCTATGCTCTATCTCCAAGTGTCTCCTAACTATCTGAACACTAGAAGACTGAGCGCTGAGAAAACTGATGTTTTCCTGCTCTTTCCAACAACAACATTCGCCACAAGAACTGCAATTTGTAATTGATAGAAGTTAATATTCAGCTATGATGAGCTGGCCATACACATTCAAAATAACTGCCTAATGTAGTTCATCAGCCCAAATGCAAACCGGCTACCCACCATTTCTAAATATCACTAAACAAACAATGTGGACACAACGAAAGAAATTCCACATGAGATTCACAGCTCACGGTGCTGCACCAAGCACTTAACTCAGAATATAGACTCCAGTCCATATTGGGAAACTGCATTAGCGACACACACACACATACACAAAAACCAACAACTTATTCAAAACAAAATGGACTGTCTTGCCTGTCCGTCATACTGGACCAGAAGTGAACTTTACAGTCTGTGACAGATAATTTAAAAAAAAAAAGGATTCAACAAAACCATCTAATATTCAGTTTTATTCTATTTTTTTAAAATAATTATTTGCAGTCAAATCATAAAAACGTGTGTGTGTATGTGTGTGTGTATATCATTGACAATCAGTGTTTATATTTCCTGATATCTGAGAGAATTATATTTCATAAAGCAAGTTACTAGCACTAACGATTATAATAAATATGAAAATGAAAAATGTCATTTACTAAGTCACTCCTAGAATAAAGTCTCTTTTATGCCATTTTTAACACATACACATACATGCATGAACTCACAGGCACACACACACACACAGCATGTAAGCACACACCACATTTGCTGACCCAGACCTCAGCAAAGTGGTTCCTAGGAATGAGAGAGAAAGCATGTGTATAATACGACCGCAGGCTGCAGTGGAACACTTTGTGTCGCTCAACTTGGTTTTATATTATAATGACTGCTCTTCATCTATTTCTTGATATTATTTTCCCACTTGTATTGTTGTCTAGCTCTTTCCCACTTTAATCTCTTGCTCACTTGTAGTTCTCCCTTACTCACAGCCAAACTCAGAAGCAAACATTAAATGTCTAAACCCTGTGGAGAAAACAATGCCAACTGAACTCTTATTCGTGCCAATTCTGATACCCTTTAACTGTTCATTTAACGATCGTCTTCATGGCACATCGGGCATGACCATAAGTGCTCCGCTCCCCTCTTGAGTATGTCTCCAAGTGTTTATAGGCTAACAACACCCATTCTGTTCTGGCTGGTGTAACGACGGGTGGCTCCCTCTTGGTTTTCCTGTCTCCCAGCTCCAATTGGTACACTCACAGTATGTAGTCTATTCAGTGAAATGTCATTTTCTATGAACATGAACGTCTTACAGCGGTCTCTTGTGTGACATTTATGTTGTCTCTTCTGTCCATAGATGGCCTATTCTTCTTCTTCTTCTTCTTCTTCTTCACTTCCTCTTTTACCGCTGTGGGTGTCGAGGGAGATATAAGGTTCTGTTTCTAGCTCTTTTGGCCGCCTCGACCATAGGCACATCGTGCTGTTGTAAAGTTTCTCTGACATTATCCTTCCATCTTGTTCTTGGTCTACCTCGTGCTCTACGTCCTTCTTCTCTTTCCATGTATGCTTTGCATGGTATGGTGTCACAAGGCATTCTCTCAAAGTGAGCAAACCATTTCACTTGCTGTCTTTGTATGTAATTTAGAATTGATTCTGTGCCGACTTTTTCTCTTATGATCTCATTCCTGATCTTATCTCTTATGGTCACTCCTGCAGCCCTTCTCAGACATGATGGCCTATTTTCATCTCTAAAAGGAGCACAGATCAAGACCTTGTTGTGTCCAAATTAGGGTTCCCAGATTTTGTAAAATAAAAAATGGAGTGATGACTTATTTGTTTATAATAAAATTGTTCACTGCTAATAGGTTGTAAAATATACATAATCAATATACTCAACTTATCCACAGGAACAAAATTTAGGTGGAGAAAACATGACACAGAGAAGTCCTGGGAAAATAAGTATATGAAAACCTTAGTTCAAATGTTTTACTGCACGATGTATAGCTCTTGCACACCCTTATGCTTTCTGTGCTTGGAAAGAAAAACAAGAAAGCTCTGCCATGTAGTCACCATGGATACAGTACTTTATAAATAGGGCAGGAAAATTATCTGTGACAGGTGCAACCTTTCTTTAGGGCTTAGATGGTGTGAACAGCGAAACACTGGACATGAGTTTAAACCTAGTCTTCTAGAGCAGTGGTTCCCCAACTAGTGGCCTGTGAACCCCCAGGATCCGCAGAAGAAATTGAAGGGGTCTATGTATCATTAAAAAAAAAAAAAAAAAAAGAAACTACATCCCTCTTTCTGTGGTGATTCTAATGCAGATTTACTTTTAGATTCGTAAAGATGTGACTACTAAGAAATAGAGGGTCGGTGGCAGGTCTCAAAAACAAAAGGAGTCCATGGTCTTATCTACATGAGAACCATTGTTCAAGAAGACTGACAACCATCAACCAACCAAAAGCAACAACCCAGTCAATCACACACAAGTCTATCTCTTCCTCTACACTCCCAAGGTAGCAAATAAATGATCCATAAGAAAATGAAAAAGAGAACAAAATATCTACTAATGCTTTGCTGGCCTGTACGATATCATGTTATGATATACAGACTTGTAGGTATTATAAAGCTGGGTTCATCATTCAGGTAAATCGACATCACAGCATTCAGGATAAGTCCATATTTGCCCTGTCTCCCTCCTCAACAAGCCAGCGAAGAGTCCACACACCGGGATGGTATCTGCTGATATATGGTTATCTACTTGTCTTGCCTCCTCCCTCAAGTCTTGAGTGGAGCCTGTGGACACTCCACGCTCTTGTAAGGCTCCTAAATCTACTTGTCACTTTTGCTGGAGAGGTCTATCTCAGATATCTCACTGTCCTCTCCTTCAGCACCTGAGGGTATTGTCACAGACATCCTGTATGTGCCAGCGTATGAACTGGTTCCAGTTTCCGCACCAATCCTGTGAAGAACAACACATTAACAGATAATGAGGGACAAAATCTTGTAAGAAGTTATGACAGATGCTAATATAGTTATCATTATCATCATGTGCCTTGCTGATAGAAATGTGCGGTGATAACTCTCCAGCAACATGTATCAGTTCATGTGCTGACACCCTTCCATGCCATGACAAAAGATAGTCAAGAAGCCAATCTTCTTGTGCTGTTATAAACACAATTCACCAACTTTTTTCAAGGGTTTCCAAGGGTTTTAAAGTTGTTTTTTCAAAGAATTTTTGCTTCATTCAAGGGTGTACCAGTTATGGCAAAGAATGTACGACTTCATTTCTGATATGTTGTGTTTGAGCCCTCGCCTTGTTCAAAACAAACATCTAGCTTAATCATTGTTCTGTGCAAGAAATTTTAAGCATTTTTCAATAGAATAAAATCACCAAGGCCTCAAGAAATTGTTTCACTTGACTAACTGTCCAGGATTCAAAGCCATGTTTCAAGTGGTTCTAAATCAGTGGCTCTCAACCTTCCTAATGCTACGACCCTTTAATACAGTTCCTCATACTGTGGCAACCCTTTAATACAGTTCCTCTTACTGTGGCGACCATACATTTATTTTTGTTACTACTTCATAACTTCAATGAAAATATGTTTTACACATTTTTTACCCCTGTGAAAGGGACATTCCACCCCAAAAAAAAATGGGTCGCGACCTATAGGTTGAGAACCGCTGTTCTATATAGATAACAAGTATTCTTTTTCTAATCACACAACATGATTTTTTGTTTACAATGATCTTTATTTTTTATTACTTTATTTTTCTCCTGTTTTGGTCCCCTGAGACTCATTGCTTTATTTGTCTACTGTTGTGGTCAACTGAGACCCACTGATTAATTAGCTGCTGCTACTCCTCTAGTCGGAGAGCTACTTATGATAAAGCGGTTGTGATAAAGGCTCTCTGGGATCAAATAGACAGTGCAATGAACAGACAGAGAATCCATACACTGACATACTAATTCAACTGGGGGGGGGGGGGGGGGGGGGAAGAGCAGAGATTCTGGAAGATATTCAACATTGAGAGGGAAACAAAGGCGGACTTTTAATCAGGTTGCAGCTGGCATTATTAGCATGCCGACTCTTAGTTGGCTGCTGAAGAAGGGGACGGAGCAAGTGTGGGATGTCCTGAGTGCACTGATATCAGGTCTTGATTCATTCATTCACTCAGAGACTCAAAGACTGCAGCTCCAAAGTCTGAGTTAGAAAACTGTATGACCATCAGGTGGTGACAGAGTTCAGTGATAAGATACACACCTGTGCAGCTCGGCTTCATCCAAGGAATCCTGAGTGTACGTCAAGACAGCTGAGTTGCTAGGTCCCATGTCTTCAGACAAGTCCCTGGATCCCCGTTTGCTGGACTGCTGTGTCCCGCTCAGGTCAAACTCCACCGACTTCTTGACTGCAGAGTTTCTTGACTTCAAGCTGGACGCCAGGAAGCCATTAGCTAGAATAAACAGTGAAAAAATTATGTCACCAACTTTTGGTTCATCAACAATCAAAACTTACAGCCCTCCAGAAGAAAAGACAGCCATCCAGTCAACTAACTAACTGAAGACAACCATCAAACCAATCTTACTAGCAGTAAACAAAACTATATCTGCTAGCTGTGTCATACCAGGGTTCAACTTTATCAACAATGGCAAACATATTTTAGATCTACCACAAAAAGTATTATGATTCAGGTAAAACCAAAAATCAAAGTTGGATAAAAATTCACAGCTGAGGCACACACAAAATCCATGTGTAAAAATGCAACTAGAACTCTACACATAACGTGTGGGGAAGAGGGGGGAGGGAGGGGGACATACAAGAAAGAAGAGAAGAAGAAGAAGACAAAAAAGAAGCAGGAGTAGGAGGCTAACTTGGCCCCAAGATCATAACAGATCCAACTATGACAACAGTATTTACCTGATCGCCTGAAACTGTCTCCATCAGCAGATCTGCTCAACGACTCGCTGTTATAAGTAGAGTCAGATCTTCTCACACCTGAAAGAATTCAATATTGTGTCATGATCTTGAGAAGGGTTCAGCTAGGAGTAAGTGATCACTTATAAAGGGTCTTTTTAAAGTCTCACTATACTTTCTATGCAGACCACATTTGCAACACAAAGTAAAGATGTCATGAAAATATGTGCTCTACAGCCATGTTAAATGTTGAATTAGGAATCAACATCAAAACACTCGGAGCACTCCCATAAGGGCTCTGTCCCAATCTTCAGCAGCACGAAAAGAGTATCAATTCTGTTTGGCAAAGTGAATTGTCTGTCTGTGGTAAAAACAAATTGCTTGGTTAAGTGAACTGCTGCTTGTGTTATAAACACATTGTTCGACTCGGTGAATTGGCTGCTTGTGTTATAAACACATTGTTCGACTCGGTGAATTGTCTGCTTGTGTTATAAACACATTGTTTGACTCGGTGATTTGGCTGCTTGTGTTATAAACACATTGTTTGGCCCAGTGATTTGGCTGCTTGTGTTATAAAACACATTGTTTGGCTCGGTGAATTGGCTGCTTGTGTTATAAACACATTGTTTGGCCCAGTGATTTGGCTGCTTGTGTTATAAACACATTGTTTGGCTCAGTGATTTGGCTGCTTGTGTTATAAACACATTGTTTGGCTTGGTGAATTGGCTGCTTGTGTTATAAACACATTGTTTGGCCCAGTGATTTGGCTGCTTGTGTTATAAACACATTGTTTGGCTCGGTGATTTGGCTGCTTGTGTTATAAACACATTGTTTGGCTCGGTGAATTGGCTGCTTGTGTTATAAACACATTGTTTGACTCGGTGATTTGGCTGCTTGTGTTATGAACACATTGTTTGACTCGGTGATTTGGCTGCCTGTGTTATAAACACATTGTTTGACTCTGTGATTTGGCTGCTTGTGTTATAAACACATTGTTTGACTCGGTGATTTGGCTGCTTGTGTTATAAACACATTGTTTGGCTCAGTGAATTGGCTGCTTGTGTTATAAGCACATTGTATGGCCCAGTGATTTGGCTGCTTGTGTTATAAACACATTGTTTGGCTCAGTGATTTGGCTGCTTGTGTTATAAACACATTGTTTGACTCGGTGATTTGGCTGCTTGTGTTATAAACACATTGTTTGGCTCAGTGAATTGGCTGCTTGTGTTATAAGCACATTGTATGGCCCAGTGATTTGGCTGCTTGTGTTATAAACACATTGTTTGGCTCAGTGATCTGGCTGCTTGTGTTATAAACACATTGTTTGGCTTGGTGAATTGGCTGCTTGTGTTATAAACACATTGTTTGGCCCAGTGATTTGGCTGCTTGTGTTATAAAACACATTGTTTGGCTCGGTGATTTGGCTGCTTGTGTTATAAACACATTGTTTAGTTTAGTGAATTGGCTGCTTGTGTTATAAACACATTGTTTGGCTTTGCGAATTTGCTGTTTTTGTAGAGATACATGTTACAACTAAGTAAATTTGCTGTTTTTGTAGAGATACATGTTACAACTAAGTAAATTTGCTGTTTTTGTAGAGATACATGTTACAACTAAGTGAATTTGCTGTTTTTTAGTAGAGACACTTGCTAAGTGAGCTTGAATTGAATTTAAAGCATTTCTTTGTCTTTCGGTTGCAATGAGTATGTACAGTCTGACTGGCTCCTTCCAGCAAGAACTGAGACTAAAGATTTGCACAGCCAGGCATAAGAGGCACATTGGATTTATGAGAAGTCTAATGTGTTTCCTGATTTAACATATGGTCAGATTATATGAAAGAAATCTGGCTTTTCCACTTGTTATTTCCAGTGTGAAAATTTGCCTCCTTGATAGTAATTTATCTGTATCTTTTTAAAGCAATTATGTTCTACAATGGACAGTTACTGTGAAACCTTTTGGAATGAGAAATATTGTATTTGTTTATCTTTGTGTGTGTGTTTGTACTTTCATTTATTTCTGGGTTTAACTTTATAATTTTCATTTGCTGAAGAGGACCTTTTGGCTTTAATTTGAGTTCTTCTACACAAATGCATACAAACTGTCTTGGTTTAGAGGAGTGAGGCCTGGAGTAGCATATCATCAAGAAATCAGATCTGTAAGTCAACAATCAAAATATTTGAATAGAGCCAAAGAATGAGTGTAAAAACTTACATCTGATTGTGGTTCAATGTACGATGAGATATTTAGAATAGACTGAAAGCAGTAATGCTGTGAAAATACTGTGACAAAATTATTCAGAACAAAAATTTAAAAAAAAATAAAAATGTTGTGAAAAATTATACATGTTGTTGTTTGCTGATAAAGGCTTTCCTAGCTTCAACTTTCATTTTGTCAATTACGACTGTGTTTTACTATAAAGAGAGTAGTTCTGTTTGTTTTCTTTGATTATTTAGTATAGAAAGTGTGATACCTGGGTCGCTAGTCTGTGACAGTCTGACATCACTGTTTCTACGTCTGTCCTGTTTACCAGGCAGAGTTCTCCCTCTTGCTGACAATGGTCTTCCTTCTGATAGGACAGGCTGATACTGGACTTGGGCTAAATTAATCAAATAAACAACACAGGCTCACTTATTTACAACAGTAACTGACACAGGCTCACTTATTTACAACAGTAACTGACACAGGCTCACATATTTACAACAGTAACTGACACAGGCTCACTTATTTACAACAGTAACTGACACAGGCTCACATATTTACAACAGTAACTGACACAGGCTCACATATTTACAACAGTAACTGACACAGGCTCACATATTTACAACAGTAACTGACACAGGCTCACATATTTACAACAGTAACTGACACAGGCTCACATATTTACAACAGTAACTGACACAGGCTCACTTATTTACAACAGTAACTGACACAGGCTCACTTATTTACAACAGTAACTGACACAGGCTCACATATTTACAACAGTAACTGACACAGGCTCACATATTTACAACAGTAACTGACACAGGCTCACATATTTACAACAGTAACTGACACAGGCTCACATATTTACAACAGTAACTGAAAAGTGGCCGGAATACAGTTGTTAAATACAACAAACATATAATACTTTAAACAACTGACAGTATTGAAAGGTCAATTGTGGGCGGGAGAGGGGGGGGGGGATAGACCAACTGCCCCCTTAAGAAGCATGTCATACAAGGCAACTAATTAGGGATGTTTCCGTCCAAGTTTGAGTGCCTCTGTCTTACAGGCAAGGAACTAGAAGTCTGCATAAAAAGGCATATCTGTGAAATGGATGTGCAGGCAAAACTCAAGTTCTGGAACAGGACCAAAGTCCAGAAGTGGTCGAACAATCAGAACTTTCTGCTGGAGTTTACAGCCTGTGAATGATAAGGGGGAAAGGTCAAAATAAAAAAAACACCGACTCACATACATATCTATAACAGAAACTTTAAGTACAGAGAAAAACTAACTCAATTACTAGCAAAACTACAAACATTCATGAACTGGTGTCTGTGCAGACTGGAGGGAATGATATGATAGAATCATTAATACCGAGCTCTGAGACACTAAAACAAATTTCAGTGAATCAAGAAATGAAGAAATGATGCTGGCATTGTTTGGGGGTCTGTGTTGGCTGAGGGGCTATGTTTCTCTGACAGATAAAAGAAGGAGGAGGAAAGTAGTTACAGACATACACAACTTTAAACAACTGACAATACTAAAAAGTCAAAAATAATCAATTCAGACCAGCACACACAACAGCAGTTTAAAAGTAGATAAAGTTGTTAAATAAATGGACTTGTAATATTTTAAACAACTGACAGTACAGAAAGGTCAAAGATTCATCATCATCAGTATAAAAAAATCATTTTCGGAACATTACTCTCTACTAAAATAAGACTGAGCTTTTCCTGATTACTCCGTCTTTAAATAATCTATTCTACTCCTCATGCAACCTGAAGTTTCACTCAGTTTCATGCTTTCTTCATGTGGCACAATGTATCCTAACTGCATGTTCTGGTATTGCCAACTCTATACATTTTACAATATAATTACAAATCGACACCATCTATTCATACTATTGCTCACAATTTAAGTTTAGCAGTTGTTGTCATCATTTTTAAACAATGAAAACATTTCCCAACAATGAAAAAATTACTTATTACACTTAATACAGTGGTAATGATGGCTGTGGGTATTGTGCAGCGAAAGGGTTAATTTGGTGCATTATTATAATGTTTGAGTAATATTTATGTTACAATGCCTTGCCTTTCTTCTTCCAAAATTGCAAAATGAAAGAAGAAGAAGAAGAAGAAGAAGAAGAGGAAGAAGAAGAAGAAGAAAAAGAAGAAGATGATGATGATGATGATAAAGAAGAAAAAGATAAAAGAGATGCTGAAGAAAGCAAACACACAACAATCAGTGTTCTAGTGCAATGGTTTTTAACCAGGAAACCCAAAATGGTGTGTGTGCATGTGTGTGTGTGTGTGTGGAAATGGGGGTGGGGGGGAGTTTAAAAGTATTAGTCAGTGTTGAAACTGAGTGCATTCTTAATTGTGCTTTGGATTTCTTTTTGTCATCTTTTTAATCTCATAATATCTTTTTTGGTCAGAGACAATAAAATAAGGGGGGGGGGGGAGTCTGGGGGTTTTGCCATACATTCAAAACGAAAGGGGGAGGGGGGGGGGGGGGGGGGGCACATGAAAAAAGGTTGAAAACCACTGTTCTAATGTAACAGAGCAGACAGACTTTAATAACTATAGTAAAAGGATCTATCACTGACTTCTAGTCCTTGTCGCTGCAAATTCTTGCTGGCGTTGTGGAGGTGGTGGTGTTTTACTGCGCCTGTCTTGCTGGGGTGGAGTTCTACTTCTCTTCTGCTGCTGTGGCGAAGGTGTTCGACTGCGCGGTCTCTGTTGGGGTGATGCTGTCCTACTGTAGGTGTCTTCTTGTGGTGACTGCGTTCTAATGTGATGCTGTTCAAGTTCCTGCCTTCTATCCTGTGTGTCCTTCTTATATGCATAATTTTCCTCTAGATTTTTCTCCAAGGTTGATGAAGGACTTCTGGCACGACCTCCTCTCCCTGAAATATTGCACACAAATGTCATGAGGGTGGGCATTTATGTCATGTTTCAGATGAAAAGAGATCCTAAATTGAGGACTACCAACTGTCTTGGTCATTAGCAAATGTCTGTCATTTGACTACAACTGTTATTGCAAAAGAGGATACAACTATCTATGACAAATATCTTTGACACATACTAATTACATATAACATTTGACTACAACTGTTATTGCAAAAGAGGATACAACTATCTATGACAAATATCTTTGACACATACTAATTACATATAACACATATAACATTTGACTACAACTGTTATTGCAAAAGAGGATACAGCTATCTATGACAAATATCTTTGACACATACTAATTATATATAACAATTAGATGATGAACCATTAAATACAATTTTTGATATACTGTGAAACCAATTATCTGAAATGGTGAAAAAGCATGTTTGTTCATTAACAAATACCTAAAAACAGTTAATTTCTTTCTTTTCAAAGGAAATTATTATTTCTGCCTTATTTGACATGTATAAAATAGGAGACATATCTGACCCGTCTTTACTGGTAGGTCAGGGCAGTATAAGAAAAAAAATAATCACAGCTCTCTGGGTAAAACACTTGTGAACACAATGTTCCCACATTGTAGCCGAATTTGTGTTTTAGTCAGGATTCATTTATTTGCTTCATTCTAATCAATTATTACTGTGGTATGTACCTGACGAGATACTGCGAAAAATGCCAGGCAATAAATTGTGAAATCTATTAAACGTGTCTTCTTTTTTTTCTAAACACCTTAGTCATGCATTCTTTGGATGCAATAGGGTGTGGACAGATGCTGTAACAAGAGAGTTGGATGAAAAAGAAAGACAGGAGAAAAGAGAAAACCCAAAAACAAATTGTGGCATGCAGTAAGATCTGTACAGGAAATGACCGGCCAAACAATTACAAATTGCATAATCTATACAACTGAAGAAGAGGACGAAGAAGGAGGAGAAGAAGAAGAAGAAGAAGAAGAAGAAGAAGAAGAAGAAGAAAAAGAAGAAGAAGAGGAAGAAAAAGAAGAAGAATAAAAAAGAAGAAAAAGAAGAAGAAGAAGAAGAAGAAGAAGAAGAAGAAGAAGAAGAAGAAGAAGAAAAAGAAAAAACACATAATGTATATTTATATACCTCGCTGCAGGTGTTCTCCATACTTTCTAGTTTGCTCGGCTGCAATCCTAGAGGGTGGTACTTGTCCGATGCTCATTTCTCCAACACTTCTGCCAGTGCTGGACATAACTCTCGGGGCTGGTCCAGGATGAAACTGAGAACATGAGAAATCATTCAATCCAACATTCATATCAGTGTATTTCAAATTATCATCTTTCAAATTATCATCTTTCAAATCAAATTATCATCTTTCAAATCAAATTATCATCTTTCAAATTATCATCTTTCAAATTATCATCTTTCAAAGTATCATCTTTCAAATTATCATCTTCACATATTTTATTAACTGCCAATAAAAGAAACAGACTGATAATAAATGAAATTATTATTGTTTAAAATATAGCAGATGCAAACTTCCCTTTATGCAAAATTGTTGCATGCAGGGACATATGTACAGGTAATGTCTGGCTAAACAATTACATATGGCATAATCTATACAACAGAAGAAGACGAAGGAGCAGAAGAAGAAAAAGAAGAAAAATTGAAGAAGAAGAAGAAGAGGAAGAATTTGAAGCAGAAGAAAAACTAAAACAAAATGCACTCCCCAAAAAAAGACAGGAGTGATCTAGGAGGAGGATGGTAGGGGAGAGAGAGAGATGACAGAGAGAGAAAAAGAGAAGGAGATATATGCACCCGCACGCACACACACAAATAAATTCTAACCACATAATAAATGACATATATTACTATGCCAAAGACGCCAAAATACTAAATCCTTGTTTTCAGAGGCAAATGAAAACCGGAAAGTTGCATGAAAAGTAATACTACATTCTAACATATGTAGAGTAGGATGACACATGTTACATGTCTTAACTCCTGAATACACAGATGTAACAGGACATAATTTTATTCACACATGCTGATAACATACAAAAACAAACATCTTCAACAAACAGGCAGACGTCACCTGTTGGACATGTATGGTTCTCTTCTGTAGCTGTGCCAATACTTCCAGTCGTGGGTCCTTGTCCGGATCCAGGAACCCACCATGGAGAAACTCCCCTTCGCTTCGTGTTCCTTCAATATCCTGAAGTTCCCAAATATTATGTCTTAAATTGTGAAAATAATTAACCTAACCAATTAAAAGTTCATTAAAGCAATATCTTCCTTTACAGCTGGAGTGCTTGCAAGCCAAGGAACCAACAGTCTGCATACAAATAAGCCCAATCTGTAAAACGGATGTTCCGGCACAAAAATAAAGTCAAGAAGAGGATGAACAACCAGAATTTTCCTCAGGTGAATGGGAAAAAGATTAAAGCACAAAAGTCAATTATTTAAACAATCTGGTGTACTTAATAGAATCTCTTTACTATGAACAACAAGCAGCAGTCAGAGTAGCTGGTGAAACATCAGAATGGTTTCAAGTGCAGAAAGAAGTGAGACAGCGCTGCATTCTTTCACCTTCCCTCTTTAACATATATGTTGAAAATGTTATGAGAAAGGCAATTACAATGAGGCATGTCAGAGCTTTAAACCACTAAAAATTTGAGGTAATTTTATGCCAGAACTCAGATATGCAGACGACACAGTTCTCCTTTCCAAAAGTGTACAAGGTTTATAAAAATTAATTTCTGGCTGTCAAAAAGCACAGCAAAGGAGTGAATCTTTTTATAAATTTGAAACAAATGAAAATCATGTTTTTAGCAAATACAGTATATCAACAACACATCACAAATTAAAATGAAGAAACAAAAAATGTCACAGATTTAGAATACTTGGGCTCTTTAGTGAACAACAGTGGTGACTGCTCGAAATAAGTCAAAAGAAGAGATTAGACACCACGAAGAACCTATGGCAAAGCACCTGTAAATTAGTTATAGTAAAAATCTTCAGATCTTGAATTTTTTCTGTGGTGACTTATGGTTGTGAGTCCTGGACTCTCACTAAATCATTGAAGAAAAAGATTGCAGCTTTTGACTTAAATATTACAAAAAAATTCTTAGTAATACCATGGATCAAGAAAAGGAAAAACATTGACATTCTAAATGAGTTAAACATCCAGGAGAACTGGCTCATTAACTCTTTAAGTCCCAAGGAACGATTCCTACCTAGAAGCCCAATGAAAGCAAGATGCACCGATTTTACGTCTTTCTTGACTACCCTTGGTTCTGTGATGCTAAACCCCCTGGGACTCAAAGAGTTAACAGTCCTGTCCTGAAGGTTAAAGTATTTTTGCCACATCAAACATCATGGTGGCTTGGAAAAGACAGTGGTGGAGGGTGCATTTTGAGGAAAGTGAGGCAGGGGTCGACCACCGTGAAGATGGATACAGGACATTGAAGATGCACTGGCACTGAAAGCACATGGGGCTGGAGAGCTGGCTAGGGAGAGGGATACTTTCAGGCGTTCTGTGAGGAAAGCAACATTCTGTAAAGGACATGCTAACTGATGATGATGATGTATGCTAATGGCTTTGCTGAGACTGCAGTCCTTAAGGAAGAGAAGAAAACAGAGGCTTTTGAGCCAACATGCTATACAAAGATTCTCAAAACACCATGGACAAAGAAGAGAAGAAATAGTGACATCCTAAAAGATCTGAACATCAAAGAAGATGGCTAATAAACAGCATCTTGTCTGGGATGCTGAAATATTTTGGCCACATTAAGCAAAAATATCTCATCCAATAAGTCGCTCTCATTTAATGTCAGAAAGAGAGTGCTAAAATGTTACACAAAACCTGTTCTGCTGTACGGTAGCAATATCTTAGAATGTCAGTGAACAAATTAAGAAGAATTTGGAAGCAACAGAGATGTGGTTTCTGAGACAAATGTTACAAATACCTTGGACGGCTAGAGTAACTAACAACGATTGTTTGAAAGAAGCTAATGAAAGTAGATACATATTTACAACAATAAGAAAGAGACAAACACTGTTCTTTGGCCAAGTAATGAGAAGAGAGGTTTTGGAAAACATCGTGACAACTGAAAAGATCAGTGTAAAGAGGGGTAGAGGCAGACCAAGATAGATGATGCTGGATGGGTTGAAACGATGGCATGGAGAGATATCATCAAGAGAGCTGTTCCAGGCAACCAGGGATCGTGATCTGTGGAGATGCATGAGCGCCTATGCCAACTGGCAGGGCACATAATGATGATATCAAGGGCTACGGCAGAGTTTTAAAAAATAGCAGAAGGCATGGTGCCAAGAAGGAGGGGCAGGGGCCGACCAGCATAAAGATCAGCATAGGATAATTGACTCCTTGGAAATGAAAGTACATGAGGCAGGAGAGCTGGTGAGAGATAGTTTTTTTCAGGCAGACCGTGATGAGAGTGACGTTCTGCAAAGGACCTCCTATGATGATGATGATGAACAGTTAAATGAAACAACTTAAGCCACAAGAAAGTAGCCTGGGCTAATATGTGCAACACTACGTACCAAGTCTAGATCTTCTGTATCTCTCAATGTACTTGCAGTGCTGACATCTACAATGTGCTCGTAGCCTCTCCCAGCAATCTCCTTGCGTATAGCTGCAAGGTAAACACAACACATATTCAGCCACAAGCTGGACAGTAGATGATAATCATTACATAAAAGATCTCTGCATGGGTTCCAAGGCCCCATCCCTGTGTGGGGTCTAGGGCCCCATCCCTGGGTGGGTTCCAGGGCCCCATCCCTGTGTGGGTTCCAAGGCCCCATCCCTGTGTGGGGTCTAGGGCCCCATCCCTGTGTGGGGTCTAGGGCCCCATCCCTGTGTGGGTTCTAGGGCCCCATCCCTGTGTGGGTTTCAAGGCTCCATCCCTATGTGGGTTCCAGGGCCTCATTTTGAAGGAACAAAGAAGACCCAGTGCCTTCCTCCCCCGCCAAGCATGTCATAGAAGTCGACTAATTAGGGGTGTATCCTTTAAAGTGGGAGTGCGTCCGCCTGAGAAGTCAGGAACCAACAGTCTGCATACAAATAAGTCAGATTTGTAAAATGGATGTACTTGCAAACCTCAAGTTCTGGAATTGAAAAAAAAAGTAAAGAAGTGGATTTACAGCCAGAACTTTTCTGCCAGAGTTTACTTCCATTGGAACCCACAGGGGCATAGGAATAAAGGAAGGCCAAAAAACACATGGAGAAGAGAGCTGGAGAATGAGGTTAGAAAGACTGGGAGGACATGGGGAGAGGTCCATGTAATGGCGAAGGATAGAACGACTTGGCGTGAGTTGGTTGAGGGCCTATGCTCCATTGGGGGATAGAAAGGCAGAAAAAGAAGAACGTGAAAAAGATTACATACAGAGAAAGTGGGCTAGGGTGGGGTGGGTGCAACAGACGACAGGTTTTGGCATCTGCCTCTGGCTGAAGCAGCTCAACAACATGCTAGCTGACTTTAATTCCCAGAACATTTCCTAGAAGCCACATAAGGATGGGTCAACCTGGAAGTCTTCAACGGTGACCCCATAATTTGTTTGATAGGTTACTCCCATGGGCTCGATTTTCCTCACCTTTGGCAAAATCTCGAGGTCAAACCAGTCTAAAGTGGGTAGCCATCAATGGTCAATTGGTCTAGCTGAGTTGAGTTGAGTCAAGAATTGACATCACAGCACTCGGGGCATTCCCATGCGTGCTCCGTCCTCATCTTTAGCAGCCAGCGCAGAGTTCCAATACTGATGGTACCGGTCACCGTCTTGTTATATGTCTGTCTTGCCTTTCCTCTGAGTGTAGTGAACCGGCCAGACCCTCTGGTACACCCAGGTGTCTCATTCTCTCCAGGCCTAATAATATTCTTTCTCTACTGATTCCACTGCTTGTTCCCAAAGGGTCTTGACCATATCTGCCTTGTCATGAATCAATTCACCACCCAGTGGTGCAGATCCAGCCAGTCTGTCTGCCTGTTCATTACCCACTATGCCGACATTGCCTAGAGAAAAGATCCAAAGTATGCTCACTACCCATGACCTTCCCAGTGAAGCTTGCCACTCTGCTCAAAGCATCCCTGTCTTCACCTTTCTCAGCAAGCTTTCAGAGTCTGTTACAATTACTACATGTGTATGCAATTGGTCTATAAACCATCAAGCCAACATTATATGCCAGATGTTCCCTGTTTGGGTTCTGGGGCCCCATGTGGGTGGAAAGAATAGACCCACTGCCCCCCCACCCCCACTCCCCTTCTCAAAAAGCTTGTTGTAAAAGTTAACTAATTAGTAGTGTTTCTTGGGAATGCAACTGTCTCACAGGTGAGGAACCAATAGTCTGTATACAAAAGAGCCAGATCTGTAAAACCGATGTGCATGCAAAACTCAAGTTCTGGAACAACACCAAAGTCAAGAACTGGTGGAAAAACCAGAACTTTCCACTGGAGTTCACAGTCCGTGAACACGGAGAAGAAGAAAGATATGTGCAATGCGCCTTTTAGTGTGAACAAGGTCCCTTACATACTAAGCGTGCTCTGAGTAAATCATGCCCTGTTCTTAGTTGGAAGATACTGTCTAACTTTCTTAGGTGACAGTCTTCTTCTTCTTCTTCTTCTTCTTCTCTGTTAACATGCGGTGCTTAGTGGCACAAAGCAGGAAAAGGACAAAAGAAAACTAAAGAATATTCTAAATACAAATTCACTTTACTTCTTTCTTCTATCCTCTACTCCTGGAATGCCTCGTGGCGTCAGGGCAGGAAGAGATCTCTGGAACGGACCCTTCGGTTCGTTTCATATAAAGTACTTTTCAGTGTCCCTGATATTTTTGTGGTCCATCTTCTGCGTGTTCAACCTCTGGCTCTGTTACAGCTGTATCTGTATCACACTGCTCTCTGTGGTACCCTGTCTGATGCCAATCTTGTTACATGGCCAAACCATTTGATCTGTTGTCTACCTATAAAGTTCAGTACTGGTTCTGTGCTGACTCTCCTCCTGATATCATCAATCCATTCCTCGTTACACCTAGCATAGTACGTAAATATGTCATTCTGGTACACACAAAATTAGATTTGTCTTACCTTCGTAGTTGACTGCTCCAACCACCTGGCCCTCACTGTAACTCAATAACCACTGTCCCTCGGAAATCCACTCATTCACTGTCTCTGTAGCAGTGGACTCTGTTGATAGTGAAGCTGTCTCAGACTCTTCAGAGGCTGCAGTTAGTGGGCGCTGAGAAGAGAAAGTGTCGTTTTAACTGACTGCATGGATTCTCAGGAAGCAAAAATGGCCTGTGTGATACCTGTGTGATACCTGTGTGATACCTATATGATACCTGTGTGATACCTATGTGATACCTGTGTGATACCTGTGTGATACCTGTGTGATACCTGTGTGATACCTATGTGATACCTATGTGATACCTATGTGATACCTGTGTGATACCTGTGTGATACCTGTGTGATACTGACACCCGGTGGGTGCTGACTGGTCTATAAAATATAGACCTGGCACCAAATACCTGAGGTGTCAATGGCTTGTAAAGGGTCGCATACTCAATTATGTGTCTTCCAGGTCATGCCGATGTGTTGGGAAATGAGCAGGCGCATAGACTGGCGGGTTCTGCACACACTTGGTGGGGAACTGATGTATGACAAGCTAGACGTTGTGAGGGCCCTCTGGGAGCGAGTAGCAGTGCGGAAGCGCAAATATATCATTACCGCCTGAGGAGAATATCGCTGTATACATGAGTCTGTATACAAATAAGCCAGATCTGTAAAATAGATGTGCACACAAAATGTAATTCTGTAAAAAGACTAAAGATGAAACAACCAGAACTTTCCACCAGATTTTACAGCTTGTGAGCATCAAGTAGAACCCCAAAAAAATTATACATGAATCTGTTGATTATTTTTTCACTAATACATTTACTCATGTCTTGTATCCACTTCTTCCTGTTATTTGAAATGTTCTCACCCAGCTGCTGTTCTAACTTTTTTCAGTCCCAGATAGGGATGGAATGATGGAATATCTGAGGCTGCAACTACTGGCATCTACATAGCACATAGCCAAGGCTCACACCAGATGCCTCTTCTAAACCTGATGATGAAAGGAAGAAGAAGTCCCAGACAGATAAGTAATTAACTTATCTGACCCAGTATGAGTCGTCGTAGCGTTGCAGCTAGACGCTGATTGGAAGGTCGTAGGTTCACTCCCTGTTGGAGCGGACTTTTTAAAAAAATAACCTTGACTCCCAGGTCGACCCAGCCTCTAGTGGGTACCGGGTGCAGTCCTGGGAAGTAAAGGCGGCCGGCATGATGCTGACAACATCACCCATGTTGTGCCGATTGGACTATGAAAATATAGGTCTAGCCCTATATGCCATATACGCCTTAAGGCGTGGAAAAGGGACCTTCACTTATCTGACCTAGTATAACTATTTAAAAAAAACAACACTGGTAAGGTGTAAGAGAGTTAAAAATAAAACCAAAGCTAGGATCTGAAAGAGTTAAAAAGTACACATTTGTATGATGATGCCTTAGACTTACTTTGGGAGAAGACGACGTGTGCTGAGTTTGTGTCTCTGTGGTCAGTGGCCTATCATCTCCGACACCCACCGATATTTTACTGTAGATGTAGCAAAAAAAGATGTAGATGAAGCAAACAAAGACTGAACGGTTATTTTTGATCACTTTTAGCAGTTATCATCAAAAATAACAATAAATACAGCAAATATTTTGTTTTCTTATAGTCTATACTGATTGGTGCTGGTAGTCATACCAATCCATAACCTTCTGTCTTCTGTACTTTCAATTAGTTCTCACACAGATGATCTTCCATGTCAAGATGCCAAACTGTCCAGCATGTTCTCTCTCTCGATCTCCCCCGGTCATTTTTCCTCTCCAGCTATCCTACCGTCACAATGTACTCCAGTTTAATTTTTCTCACATGACCAAATAATGTAGGTTTTCTGCGTCTCATGTGGGCTGTCAGTTCTTTTTATGAGTCTGTTTCCTTCAAGACATCGTCATTATGCTTTTTATCTGTTCAAGGTATTCTCATCATTCATCTATAAAACCACATCTCTGCAGCTTCCAAATATTTGTCTCTGACTGTCCCACTGTCCAGTATTTAGATATGGCAAATGTGAATAAAGAAGACACAAACAACATACAGTACAATTTATTACCAGGCGTATTTTGCTGTATAATACTGCCAGGTGCATCTGATGTGATACAGTGAAATATGCCTGGCAATAAATTGTGTAATCTGCTGTTTGAGTCTTCCTTGTACAAATGACAAGAATTATAGCTATGATCAAAGGGGGATGAGTGTAAGTTTGACATATTGCAGCGGTTTTCGTGGCAAAGGGGTCAAGCCCTTTGTCTCATGCTCCGAAAGTTGTGGGTTCATTTCATGGCTGTACCCTTCAGTTCACAAGAGCAATTTGTACTAAGATCCCTGGGGATCATCACCAAGTTCACGTTTTGTGTGACACTTTTGGCAGGTGGCTAGCTGGTCTGTAAGGAAAGATCAAGCCATATGGAAATAAAAACTTGTGCAGTGAAGTCAACCCTCTTTATTTTAACTTTTATATTATTACAATTAATGTCACTAAGCATTGCGTCAGAGACTCGTCAGATTTTACCACCCTCGCCTGTCAAAGTAACAGTTTTGGCACTACTTTTTCGGCGCTACTTTAAAAGAAACTGTGATGGGTGATGAGTTTTTTGTTGACACTCGAGATGGTAGTATAGGCAATATTTTTCTTTAAAAATAAAAAAACCTGACTACTGCTATTACTACTACTACTACCACTACTACTGTCACTAACTACTGTTACTCTATTACTACTGCTATTGCTGCTGCAGCTATTACTACTGCTATTGCTGCTGCAGCTATTACTACTGCTATTGCTGCTGCAGCTACTACTACTGCTGCTACTATTACTCCTTCTTCTAATTCTTAAAATGTTCAAAATTTTTTTTTTTTAAAGGTGATAGACTTACATTGGCTGTGGCTGCTCTATTATGTCTTCATCCAGAACCTCCTCCTCTTCGCTCTCAATGAAAGGCTCCTTTCTCATGGGCGATGGTGTTCTTATTCTAGGTGGGGTTTTAGTTATAGGAGGGGTTGCTGGCGGCGTGACCTGTCTCTCTGGGAAGACCTCCCACTTCTCTTCCTCAGCTGGTGGAGACAGTGGGGGTGTGGCTACATCATGACAGACAGTGCCCATCTCCTCTACTGTCATTGGCTTGCCTTTGGCTAAAGTACAGAAGAAAGTGTTCATTGCATCACTGTTGAGCAGAAAACGACTCTCAAAGATATATTTTCATTCTTTTTTGTTTATCTATTCTAAAACATATGGCATCATCATCATGGGGTAACAATACCTTAATGGCTGACCATAATGTATCATGGTCCTCCTATATTTTCTTTCTTTCTTTGTTTATCTATTCTAAAACCTATGTCATCATCATCATCATGGGGTAGCAATAACCTAATGGCTGACCATAATGTATTGTGGTCCTCCTAAATTTTCATTCCCCATATGGGTTCAATGGCCCCATTTTAGAAAAAAAAAAAAAAGGAACAGACAGACCACCCCCCCCCCCCCCCCCCCCCCCCCCCCCCCCCCCCCCACAACTGAATACTGAATGATAACTAATTGGGGATTGCTGAAATTGGGTGCGTTTGGCTATGCCACAGAATATGGTGGGAATATGTCAGTTCTATTTGTAGAGTCAGATTCTATAGTCACAATTATAGATTCAGCGCTAATTATAGAGAAGATAACATCTAACTCTTCTCCCTTGAGTCAACTTAATTATTCCTCTTTGTTGGTGTAGTAAAGAATGAAATCTAGCCTCTGGCCAATGTAAGTGGAGGAAAGACGAGATCAGGTTGCTTGTACCTAGCTACATGAGTAATCCACTATTTGACACACCTCCACTCCTTCCACAAGAGCTGATGAATACTGGGTCGAATTTTTCCCCATCATGGAAATCTAAGACCATTTTATTGTTATCTGAAAAAAAAATTTCTCAAGCTGACAAGATATGGTTCTGTCATGCTGTTTTGTGTGCCAATAATTCTCCCATTGCTTCCAGGGTGTCCAAATGGGCATACATCTAAACACCTGTCCTCTATCAGCACATCCATGGTAATGTTTGCTATTTTGTGGATGTTTGTTATTTTACCTATTCTTCCCAGGCAAAGTCAAACAAGTATAGTATGTGGGTATTTATTTATACAGCTTTCTTTGCAACCATCTCATACACCTGTGTACCTTCTCTACGGGTGCTTGATGTTCTTTTCTGAATAAATCCTGAGGAGAAATGTTTGTGGGGAATATAATTTTCCATGCCAGTCGTCATGCCATATGTTGCTGATGATAAGTGATTACATTTTGTGTAAAATTTTCTTGTACTGACCTGCAATCCTTCGGAGCTCTTCAGAAATGTCCAGGGACAGCGAGGACTCTGACTCAGACTCAACAATTGTGAGAATCCCCAAGGGTTCAGCAGTAGCTTGTGGTTGTCTTAGAGGTTCAGGTGACTTCGGAGGTTCAGGTTCTACAGGTTTAAATCTGTAGCCATCGAGTGGTGGAGACTGTGGTGGAGTAGCTGGTTGTGGTGGCTGCTGTCTTGTCTGTTTGGGGGAAGGGATGGGGGAGGATTTTGGAGTTGGTTGAGGAGTGGGGACTCTATGGGAGCCAGTGGCAATCTAGGATGATATTTAATAAATAGGATCAAAAGAATGATTTATAAACATAATTGCTGATTGACTGGTAAAGGAGTTAACTGCTTTACATCTCTACTCTTCTCCCATGTGCTTTATAATGAGTTTGTCAGCCCAACACAAAACTCTGGAGTGACAACAAGGATCCCAGCATGTGCATATTTAAGAATCATAACATTTTTATTTGGTAAAAATTCAAATATTCAGCAACAGGTGATGAACCAAACCTGCTGGAGCAAGGCAAAAAAGGTGATTTCCAATCCACTCTGCATCCCCCATACCAATGTTGCAGGGGAGTCATGTTTTCCTTATTGTGAATTGTTTAACCATTGCCTCTTTTCTCATCCTCTCACCGCTCGCTTGTGTGATTATTTTCATGTCCTGTGCTACCTGTGCGACGGTTCTGGAGTAGAGAAACAGCGATATTTTTCTATTCCTATGCTCCGTGTAACTGCTTTCTTTCTCTCAGGGGGAAGCCACCGCCAAATACAAAAACACCCCAGTTCTGATAGCCAAGAATCGTCGCGCCTGAGGCGCCTGAAATAGGCTCACAACAACACAACCTCTCACAAACATTACAAAAGCTGAGCGAACGCCAAACCAAGCCATATCATAACACCCCCGCAACATAGGAGAGGTCCAGCGACTTAAAGAGGCATAAATGGCAAGGAAAGTTATTCTAATCCTGGGTCTGGAAACGTGAACACGTCCACTATATAAACAGTGAAATTCTCACAACAGACAATATTTCACACATAGATAATCTATTTCAAGTAAACAGAAGAAGAAAAAGTATCAAACTATTCAGTTTGACAACTAAAAAGAAGCTTCCAAACTAGTTAGCCTGAAATCTAGGATTAAACCAGCTTTTATCCTTGACTAGATAATGTGCTGGTTTCCCTTTGCCTTAACACCACATATGTGGTTACATAGAGGTAGGGGACCTTGTTTTGCCAAGGTATCATCCGCTTACTCTCCCTTGGGTAGGCTCTGGGTCCCCATTGTAAGGTAAACAAGTAAAGACCCACTGCCTCCTCAACAAGCATGTCTAAAGAATCGACTAATTGGAGCCTTCCTTCAAAGTCAGAGTGCATCTGCCCGAGAGGCAAGGAACCAACTATCTGTTTACAAATAAATCAGATCTGTAAAAGGGATGTGCATGCAACAACCAGGTTCTGGAACATGACTGAAATCCAGAGATGGACGAACAACCAGAACTATTTGCTGGAGTTTACAGCTTGTGAATGCAAAGAAGAAGAAGAAGGCTGGAAATCTATTATTCATTTTTTTTAAACAATCATCACCATGTGCCATGCCAGTAAGCATCGGCTGTCATGTTTCAACATCACACACAATAACCATAATCATGAATCAGGTCAATGTTCTTGTCTTGCCCCCATCCATATAGCTAAGCCATCCAGGTATTTATACCTTTGTCTTCCTCTTGCTCTCTTTCCATCAATCTTGCCAGCTTTCACCAAGTTCTTGAGTGCAATTTTTCTTATAACATGTCCATCCATCCATCCATCCAATGAATACTAAAAAACAAGAACCGACAGAGTCACCAATGAATACTAAAAAACAAGAAGCGACAGAGTCACCAATAAAGACCAAAAAAACAAGAAGCGACAAAGTCACCAATGAATCCTAAAAAACAAGAAGGGGCAGAGTCACCAATAAAGACCAAAAACAAGAAGCGACAGAGTCACCAATAAAGACAAAAAAAACAAGAAGCGACAGTCACCAATAAAGACCAAAATACAAGAAGCGACAGTCACCAGAAAAAACCAAAAAACAAGAAGCGAGAAAGTCACCAATAAAGACCAAAAAACAAGAAGAAAGAAAGACACCAATGAAGACCAAAAAACAATAAGCGACAGTCACCAAAAAAGACCAAAAAACAAGAAGCGACAGAGTCAACAATGAAGACCAAAAAACAAGAAGCGACAGAGTCACCAATAAAGACCAAAAAACAAGAAGCGACAGAGTCACCAATAAAGACCAAAAAAACAAGAAGTGACAGAGTCACCAATAAAGACCAAAAAACAAGAAGCGACAGAGTCACCAATAAAGACCAATAAACAAGAAGTGAGAAAGTCACCAATGAAGACTAAAAAACAAGAAGCGACAGAGTCACCAATAAAGACCAATAAACAAGAAGTGAGAAAGTCACCAATGAAGACTAAAAAACAAGAAGCGACAGAGTCACCAAGGAAAAACTAAGAATAATGGTGGGCACAAGTACTGGTGAATGAATATCATAGAACATCAAAGAATCAAATGGTTTGGTCATCTAGTAAGAAAGGAACCAAATCAGTCAGCAGCTAGAGTGTCCAGCATAAAAACAGCAGGCTACAAGGGAAGAGGCTGACCAAGAAAGTGATGGGTGGAGGGAGTAAAACAAACACTACAGAAACATGATAGGATGCTAACACAAGCTACACAACAAGCAAACGACAGCAAACTACTTCTAACTCCTCTCTGCAACATTTAATGACATAAGGAGTAGGATTAAAGAAGAAGAGAGAAAAAGACCTTGTATATCACATAATTAGATTTACTCTGACATCTAACTGGTATCTTACCTCCTCTGCCTCCTTCTCCTCTAAGGCCTCTTCCACTTCATTCCTGACTCTGACCTGGCCTTCACCTTCTGTTTCTCTCTGAGCCATCATAGCCAGGATTTTTTCCCTGATGACAACCTTGATAAGATCCTGTATAAGGGCATTGTCGACTGGTTGGCCGGCATCAATAAACAGCTGCATGCCACTCTGGCCAACCATGTCAGTCACTAAAATGTGATACTTCATGAATTAGTGCAGAAAAAGCAATTCCTGATTGTATGAATAGCTCAAGAAATATGACACTCTTTTAATCGGTAATATGTAACAAACAAATCTAAGTTAACTATAGAATGACAATTAGCAAGGTCTTCTTTTCCTCTACTTTTCTCCTCCTCCTCTTCCTACTTCGTCTTCCTCTTATCTCCCGGTGGAGGATAAGCTAACTCCCTCCTTTGTAGACTAGTTTATGGCTGCTTGAGTTTGCAGTTGCAAACAAATAGCTCTGATGCCCAGTTGGAGTGCATGAGCTGTGGATTTCATTGCAGTGTTTTTTTTTTTTTTCTACATATGGAGGTACAATATACTACAGACTGGAACTACATATTGTAGATTGGAACTATATCTGGAGGAACATCATATAGTAGATTGGAGCTACATCTGGAGGAACAACATATTGTAGATTGGAGCTACATCTGGAGGAACAACATATTGTAGATTGGAGCTATATCTGGAGGAACAACATATTGTAGATTGGAGCTATATCTGGAGGAACAACATATTGTAGATTAGCGCCACATATTAGGGAACAACATACTGTAGATTGGAGCTTCATATGGAGGAACAACATATTGTAGATTGGAGCTACATATGGAGGAACACATATTGTAGATTGGAGCCACATATGGAAGAACAACATATTATAGATTGGTGCTACATATTAGGGAACAATATACTGTAGATTGGAGCTTCATATGGAGGAACAACATATTGTAGATTGGAGCTACATATGAAGGAACAACATATTGTAGATTGGAGCCACATCTGGAGGAACAATATATTGTAGATTGGAGCCACATCTGGAGGAACAACATATTGTAGATTGGAGCCACATATAGAGGAACAACATATAGTAGATTGGAACCACATCTGGGGGAACAACATATTGTAGATTGTAGCTACATCTGGAGGAACAATACATTGTAGATTGGAGCTACATCTGGAGGAACAACATATAGTAGATTGGAGCCACATCTCGAGGAACAACATATAGTAGATTGGAGCTACATCTGGAGGAACAACATATAGTAGATTGGAGCTACATCTGGAGGAACAACATATAGTAGATTGGAGCTAGATCTAGAGAAACAACATATTGTAGATTGTAGCTACATCTGTAGGAACATCATATAGTAGATTGGAGCTACATCTGTAGGAACATCATATAGTAGATTGGAGCTACATCTGTAGGAACATCATATAGTAGATTGGAGCTACATCTGAAGGAACAACATATTGTAGATTAGAGCCACATCTGGAGGAACATATTGTAGATTAGAGCCACATCTGCAGGAACAACATATTGTAGATTAGAGCAACATCTGGAGGAACAACATATTGTAGATTAGAGCCACATCTGGAGGAACATATTGTAGATTAGAGCCACATCTGCAGGAACAACATATTGTAGATTAGAGCCACATCTGCAGGAACAACATATTGTAGATTAGAGCCACATCTGCAGGAACAACATATTGTAGATTGGAGCTACATCTGTAGGAACAACATATTGTAGATTAGAGCCACATCTGGAGGAACAACATATAGTAGATTGGAGCCACATCTGGAGGAACAACATATAGTAGATTGGAGCCACATCTGGAGGAACAACATATAGTAGATTGGAGCCACATCTGGAGGAACAACATATAGTAGATTGGAGCCACATACTGAGAAACAACATGCTGTCGATTGGACCTACATATATTTTGGTAGCAAAATTATCAGGGGTTGATGCTTTATAGTTGTAGAACCCATTGATTACACTGTTAACTCTTGTTCTACAAGCTAATAGTATATAACTGCTACATAGCTTTAGCAGTATCATCAGGGGCTGTTGCTATATAGTTATAAAACTTCACTGATTTCACGGTGAATGCTTGTTCTTCATATATGTAACTATATAATTACTACACAGTTGTTGCTACATAGTTGTAGCACAATCCTCAGAGGTTGTTGCTATATAGTTACAATTGCTAGTGGAGCTGGGAGAGGGGGGGGGGGGGTTGAGATGAGTGCAAGACTTGGCCCCTGACAGTCCTCCTTTACCATAGGATTCTCTTGCCAGCATAATACTGACCATACAATACAGAAATAGGCTTTGCTTGAAGACTATTGTATCTAGCATGTACACTGGCTTAATTGTCTGTACTGTAACTAGCATGTACACTGGCTTAATTGTCTGTACTGTAACTAGCATGTACACTGGCTTAATTGTCTGTACTGTAACTAGCATGTACACTGGCTTAATTGTCTGTACTGTAACTAGCATGTACATTGGCTTAATTGTCTGTACTGTAACTAGCATGTACACTGGCTTAATTGTCTGTACTGTAACTAGCATGTACATTGGCTTAATTGTCTGTACTGTAACTAGCATGTACATTGGCTTAATTGTCTGTACTGTAACTAGCATGTACATTGGCTTAATTGTCTGTACTGTAACTAGCATGTACATTGGCTTAATTGTCTGTACTGTACCCAGCATAAAAGTGGTCTTTGCTTGTAGATTGTGTGCACTGTACCTAGCATCAGAGTGGGCTTTGCTTGAGAATTATAAATGGACTAGCATTTAAGTGGGCTTCACTTATAATTAATGTATACTGTACCTAGTATATAAGTGGGATTAACTTGTAGATTGTGTGTGTTGTACCCAGGATATGAATGAGTTTTATTTGTAGATTGTGTACTGTGCCAAGGATGTAAGTGGGTTTTACCGGTTGATTGTGTGTACTGTACCCAGGATATATGCGGGCTTTATCTTACATTGTGTGTGCTGTACCCGGGACATAACTTGGCATTACCCATGACCTGACTTGCTTTGTGAAAAAAAAATGCGTCCCGTTCAACCAGCATCGTCGCTTTTGGTTATAACTGTGAGTAGGTTATGTGCGAAATATAAAATGGCTATTAGCAATGCATGCCAGCGACGCAGCCATCTACCGGCCAGCCAATAGGCGGCCTGGTCGCTGAAAGGTTTTACCCGCAGCTGTACCCAGGTTATATAAGTGTGCTTTACTTGCAGGTGGTACTGTACCTAGCAGGGACTCATCCTTATCGCTGGCTTCTGATTCTGCTTGACTAGCATCTGCAGGTCTCTCTGTCACTTGCTGAGGCATCTGCGACAGCACACGAGCCATCAGCTCTTGTTCAAGCCTGGGGAATTAATCAGTGGCAACACAATGAGATACTTTTATTTACGGCACAAACAGTGCTGAATCACACCAGTGATTCCTAAACTGTGCTCCCCGGTGCCCCGGGGAGCCGCGACCTCTTCACGCGCAGCGAAATATTCAAAGATACACGACTTTTATTTTAAAAGATTTCTTTCATATGAATAGTCATACTTTTTCTTAGATTAGGGCACCGTGGAACAATTTTAATTTAAAAAAAGGCTCCACGACTAAGAACAGTTTGGAAAACACTGAGTTACACAATCTGTCATCTCAGGTAATCATGTAATCACAGTCTCAACATAACAGCAAACAGATCATCCCCGCAGTTTCCGTGCCAACCAAGACCATACAGAATACCCATCACTGCCCCTGTGAAAAACACTGCCACAGACTGCTGTCTTGACAAAGCCAATAGCATACACAGGCATTAAATGCATTCGGCAGCTGTCAGATGTGCCGGCACAAACATCTGTCCTCTGAAGACTGACAACTTTTAAACCAACAGTTTGTGGTGATGGCTATACAAAAAGATAGGAAACTGTGGGGACCGTGGGGTGTAGTGACTACAGGCTTGGCTGGTGGCTCGAAAGCCTTGGATTTAAATCTGCATCAAGCCAAGATTATGTTGTCATTGTTGTTGTTGTTGTTGTTGTTGACAACTGACCTTGGCTCCCAGGTGGACCCAGCCTAAATAGTGCACCAGGAAATGACTTGGGAAGTAAAGCCGGCCAGCCTGGTTTTGAGCACATCATTCCTGGAGTACACATTAGTGCATACAAATAGTAGCAAATTCCTGCTGTGCACTGGCTTAAAAAAATGTTCTTTACTTTAACTTACGTATATAAATTGATTTCAAATGAAAACCTTAAAAGTGTGATAGACATTACAATAATCCTGTAATTGCTTAGCAGCCTGTCAGTATTGTTGTTAAGGAAGTCAAGAGTGTTAGGCACATGACCCTACAATACAGACTAATAGGTGACATAATAATGTCAGTTTAAGGATGGCTGCCCAACTTTTGAAATGCACCAAAGAGTTCAGCATTCTGTTACTTTTTATTTCCTTCTAAACAGATGGAAGCCATAGTAATGCAGTGGCCAGATACTTGCCTGACAGCCTAAAGGTCTTGTATTTGAACCTGCATCCAAACAGACTTACACAATTGCCGTGGGCTTCCACGTTGACACAGCCTAAAATGCATACCAACAGGGATTTTTGTGTTTGGCAAGTAATGGCACACAGTACCGGCACCTTTTTTTTGGGTATCATTTTTTTCCCAGCACTACTGTAACAGACACTTTTTAGTGAGTACCAGATTCTTTGTTTCAAGAAGGAACCAACCAAAAAAAATCCCTGGGAACCAGGAAATGTCCTGGGAAGTAATGTTTTACTAGAAAACTAGTCGTGGATACAACAAAATATGCTGACCCTGAAATTTCATTAGAGGTGGAAACAACAGCAAGAACAACAGCAAGAAAAACAGCAAGTACATCAGAAGAACAATAGCAATAACATCAGGAAGAACATCAGCAAAAACAACAGCAAAAACAACAACAAGAACATCAGTAAGTACATCAGCAAGAACAATAGCAAGAACATCAGGAAGAACAATAGCAAGAACATCAGGAAGAACATCAGCAAAAACAACAGCAAAAACAACAACAAGAACATCAGTAAGTACATCAGCAAGAACAATAACAAGAACATCAGGAAGAACAATAGCAAGAACATCTGGAATAACATCAGCAAGAAGAACAGCAAGAACAACAGCAATAACATCAGGAAGAACATCAGCAAGTACATCAGCAAGAACATCAGGAAGAACCATAGCAAGAACATCAGTAAGAACATCAGCAAGAACAACAGCAAGAAAAAAAATCCCCCCCCCCCCCCTCCCCCAAAAAAAAAATGACAGCAGCATCCATCCATTCATCTCTGAGTTCTCCTCTGAGCTGATACCTGAAAGTCTGACACCCTGAGATTAGAAAATCTCCATCTGGATGGCAGACCAACAAGGCATATTCCAGATATTTCGCTGAACCTCTAAAGAAGTTATAACTAGGACACCCATAGTGACCATACCAGCTAGTGTAGTCTGTAGTCTTGTGTGAGTAAGGATTACGGATTACAGCAGTAGCAACAACAACAGTAACAATAATAGCATCAACAACAGCAACAACAATGGTAACAACAACAGGAACAATAACAAAAGTAACAACAGCAGCAACAACGACAGCAGCAACAACAACAGTAACAACAATAATAGTAACAACAAAAACAGCAACAACAACAGCAACAACAACAAAATCAACACTAACAGCAACAACAACCATAACAACAACAGTAACAACAACAACAGCAACAACAGTAACAGCAGCAACAACAACAGCAACAGATCAGACCTACTTACCAAATGACAGCATTGTTCTCCAGCATATCTCTTCTTCGTAAGTCTTCTGCCATGACATCTGACATCTGTTGTGCTGCTACAACTTCTCCAGCCCCGTCTGCCCAACCGGGATTTCTGATTTGTGGCGGGAAACTCGGCCCTGAGTATGGAGCAGTTTTAGGTTCGTATCCTGGTAGCCTAATTCCCTCTCCTGACTGCTCTAATTCAGAATTCTCTTCTGTGTGAGGTAACTTTGATTCATCAGCTTCCTGTATGGACAATCAGACACACACAAAAGTAAAGAGTATGTCCTTTAAAAAGCTGTCCATAAGGCCGTTAGTCTTTGAGTCCCAGGGAGTTTAGCATCACAGGCCCAGGGGGTAGTAATGTGAGTCATAAAATCAGCGCATCATGCGTTCATTGGGCTTCTAGGTGGGAACCTATGACCGTATGATGCGTTCCTTGGGACTCAAAGAGTTAAAAGATCTGAAGCCTAAGTCAAAATATCAGTATTCAAATTCTGGATTCACAGATCAATATTTCAAACACTCTTACAATCCTGTAGTCAGAGTCATACATCAATATTGTGTACACTTTTATTTCTATGAGATGGTTCAAATTTGAAATCCTGAGAGTACAGCTCATTAAGTACAGCTCTACCTGTGCATCAAATGCAGATGCTAATGACATGCTCTAGATGATGCTTCAATGTCCATATTTGGCAAGAGACAATCCCAGTCACTAAACTAGTTTTAGGCTCACAAAAATCTGACACTGCCAGTAACACAGGAGAAGAAAAGTGCTCTATTAGCAAACAAAAATCTGTCAAATGATAGAAATAGGCAACTGCTATGAACCTTCCGGACAAGAGTCCACAAAACTACACGACACTGTGCTGACTGAGATTTTTCAAAGCGGACGTGGTTCCCAAACCAGCAGCAAAACACCATGATCCCCAGGGATTGATGGTTGCCTACTTTTATTTTTGCAGTGAAAGATTAATTTAAAAAAAAAAAAAAAAAAAGTTTCTCCACAGCAAATTTAAATAATTTAGATACAAACAATACATTTCAAAGTTCAATGCCTGGCATATTTTTGCAGTGTCTAATCAGGTAAATTACTACAGTTTTGCATCAACAGATTCATACATAATTATTTGATACTCTTACATTTCTGGAATCAAACAGGAATGTGAGATTTGCATGATCTTGTTGTGGGCTTCTGAAATGAATGTCGGACCTCTGCGATGATGACGGGGATATGGAGTCAATGTCTACAGGTGGCAGTACCTGAAAGAGACATACCATGTGAGCATCCTTAGATATGAACTTTTTTACGTTCACCAGCTGTAAAGTTAGCGGAAAGTTCTGCTTGTTCATCCACTTCTGGACTGATGTCTTCTTCCAGAATCTCAGTGTTGCGTGTGCATCCGTTTTACAGATCTGACTCATTTTTATGCACACTGCTGTTCCTTGCCTCTCAGGCAGATGCACTCCGACTCCGAAAGAAAGATATGAACTATTAATAAAATTAGTTCCTCTCACAATTTGTATCTCATTTATTTGGTCTAATGTATGTAATTAAATGTAATTACCATAATTTAATTAATAGGATAACAAACACAAGCAAATGCAGAATTTCACAATGAAGATTATTCTATGCAAACTTTCTCCGTCACATGAGAGACAGAGAACTGTCAAGAGTTATACTGACCAATGAGCTCAAAAACATGTGGAAGCGGTAAAGATGTTTAATACACAAATTATTAGAGCACAATGGACAATAAAAAAGAATAATATTTTAAAACAACAGGACTCATGAAGAGAATTCTTCTTCTTCTTCTTCTTTTTTTAGCATTCACCATCTGTAAACTTCTGCCCCCCCCCCCCTCCCCCCCCAAAAAAAAAAATGTGGGTTGTTCATCCATTTCTGGACGTTGGTTCATCCTGGAACTTGAGTTCTGTGTGCACCTCCATTTTTCAGATCTGGCTTATTTGTATGCAGACTGTTGGTCCTTCACTTCTGAGGAAGATGCACTCCAACTCTGAAGGAAACTCCCCTAAATAGTCACCTTGTAGGACACGCTCCAAGAATGGGGCCCTGAAACCCATGTGGGGAATGAAGAAAACTGATTGCTCACATCAGAAGGAGATGACCTATATTCTTTAGTCATGTAATGAGAAGAAGAAAAACTGGAGAGTACATCATGACGGTGGAAAATTTAGAGGTGAAAAAATTCAGAGGCAGACAGAGACAGAGGGATGATTCTGGACAGTCTGACATCACGAAATAGAAGATCATCTGCATCAGAATTGACTGAGATACACGACATAGAAGATCATCTGCATCAGAATTGACTGAGATACACGACATAGAAGATCATCTGCATCAGAATTGACTGAGATACACGACTTAGAAGATCATCTGCATCAGAATTGACTGAGATACACGATTTAGAAGATCATCTGCATCAGAATTGACTGAGATACACGACATAGAAGATCATCTGCATCAGAATTGACTGAGATACACGACACAAAAGATCATCTGCATCAGAATTGACTGAGATACATGACATAGAAGATCCTCTGCATCAGAATTGACTGACATACACGACATAGAAGATCATCTGCATCAGAGTTGACTGAGATACACACAAGACTCTTCTCCCTCTGCAGAAACACAGTCTGATCAAATTAAAATGATATTTGGGTCACAGATGGAAGAGTCAAATACACAACACTTTCTGCTTGGATCTGATAAAGTTGAGATTTAGATTTCATTTATGTTTCATACCTGTTTAGTTAACTCTGGTTGCCTTTCAGCCAGTCCTTGCTCATTCATATTTCATACCTGTTTAGTTAGCTCTGGTTGCCTTTCAGCATGCCCTTGCTCATTCATATTTCATACCTGTTTAGTTAACTCTGGTTGCCTTTCAGCCAGTCCTTGCTCATTCATATTTCATACCTGTTTAGTTAACTCTGGTTGCCTTTCAGCCAGTCCTTGCTCATTCATATTTCATACCTGTTTAGTTAGCTCTGGTTGCCTTTCAGCCAGTCCTTGCTCATTCATATTTCATACCTGTTTAGTTAACTCTGGTTGCCTTTCAGCCAGTCCTTGCTCATTCATATTTCATACCTGTTTAGTTAGCTCTGGTTGCCTTTCAGCATGTCCTTGCTCATTCTTGTCCCCAGGGAAAGAGACCATGGCCACATTTCTGGCAGCTGTCACTGGGACAGGGGTGGAACTGACCGGACCAGAGCTGCTTCTAGTCACAGGAGCAGCTGACCTCCTCAGTCCAGGCTCTATTCGTGGTGCTCCTAATGGTACTGCCATGGAAACCAGTTGACCTTGAATTGGAGCTAGGGAAATAATGCACTATGTTATTTTATCATAACAGTCATCATCAACAAGTGCGTGGTGACTGACCTGGGCGATCATGCAGTTCAAAATCTGCGATCTGCAACTGCGTGTATCAGTTTGTGTACTAAAACCCTCCATGCCATGACAAAAGGCTGACAAGAATCATCTCACGTTGTCTTCTACTTTCTTTCCAAAACTTTTTTCAGTTGTCACAACATGTGCCTGTTTCCTTCTTTTCATAATATGGCCACAAAATTATGTCTGTCTCTTTCTGATGTTTGTGATAAGTTGTCTTCGAGCCCTTTTCTCTTTCAAAATATATGGTTTATTCTTTTTTGACTGCCTAAGGAATTCTAAGAATTCTCCTGTAAAATTACATCTCTGAGGCCTCAAGAAACTGTTTGGCTTGTTTAATAACTGACGAGGATTAACAGCCATATGTTAAAACTGACTATATACAGCATGCAAGGATTCTTTTTCTAACCTCGAATGACATAGATTTCTTGCATAAAATGCAGTTTTGGCCTGTCCTATTCCGTTCTTTATCTCTGTGATACAACTTCCACTGAATGTTATCCATGTGCCCAGCGTCGGTATTTGTCCCAAAATAATGCATTCAGTTTTTAATTTTACTGAATCAGTATAATAAAAGTAAAGATTGTTTATTTAAATATGGCACACAAAGTGTATGGTGCTAGCAACATATTTGTATAAACTAGCAAGCACTCGATGGGTGACAGTTGTCAAAAGCTTATTTTAGGGAAACCCTTTGAAAGCTAGCTGATCTCATGGATACTCACAAAGAGGCACTTAAACCAGTGTTAATGTAGTTACTCCATCCTTTCCTTTTTTGCATTCTGTTTTGCTTCTTGCAGCTGTTTGTTGATGGCGCCTTGCAACGTGGTTTGTTTCATGCAATTGTAAGTTTTTTTAAGTTGACCTGTATTCCATGTTTAAGTGATCTGACCATGTCGACTGTTGGCCAATAGTTCATGGGTTCAAACATTTTAACCCCCCCCCTTCCCCCCCCCTCTCCCCCCCCCCACCTCACCCCTTAATAAAATTAGTCTTGGGTTCTCAGATCAACCCGGTCTAAAATGGGTCGCAATTAGAGACCTCAGAAGTAGTCAGCTGATGATGACTACATCACCCACTGAGTACTGATTGGTTATTTTAAAAAATGGGTGGAGCTAAATCTTTTTCTTACACAAGGCAGTACCGGCAACATTTTTCTAGGTCAACCATTTTTCAGCACTAATGTTAAAGATACTTTGTGGTGCGTACCGGCACCTTTGTCTTCTCCCCATGCGATTTCCAGTGGCCCACTGTGAAGAAAGCACCGACCGTGGCTTAGGCGTTGCGAGTCCGACTTGTATTTCCATCGTACCGCGATCGAAACCCACTGCTGGCTGCGTGGATTTTTATCATGGTATGGGGCGTCACAGATCGACCCAGCCTAAAGTGTGTACCAGGATGGGCTGTCCTGGGGAAGTAAAGACGGCCGGCGTAATGTTGACCACATTGCCCACCCAGTGCCGATTGGTCTGTAAAAATATGGGACGCTCTTCCCATATGCCCGATGCACCTAAGGCATGAAAGGGAATCTTTACTTTACTTTACTGTGGGGCATGAAAAGGAATCTTTACTTTACTTTACTGTGGGGCATGAAAAGGAATCTTTACTTTACTTTACTGTGGGGCATGAAAAGGAATCTTTACTTTACTTTACTGTGGGGCATGAAAAGGAATCTTTACTTTACTTTACTGTGGGGCATGAAAAGGAATCTTTACTTTACTTTACTGTGGGGCATGAAAAGGAATCTTTACTTTACTTTACTGTGGGGCATGAAAAGGAATCTTTACTTTACTTTACTGTGGGGCATGAAAAGGAATCTTTACTTTACTTTACTGTGGGGCATGAAAAGGAATCTCTACTTTACTTTACTGTGGGGAAAACAAGAACAGACTCATGTCTAGGTAACAACCGCGCTGTAGGATGAGGGCATCCTTGCATACAGATAAGCAAGATCTGTGAAAAGGATGTGCACGCAATAGTCAGGTTCTGAAGCAGGACTAAGGTCCGGAGGTGGACGAACACCCAGAACTTTCTGCCATAATTTAGCCAGTGAACATGAAGAAGAAGAGTACCGGCACCTTTTTTCCAGAAGAAAAAAAAGCATCCTGGGTTTAGCACCACATGCTTGATGCATCGATGACATAAAAAGGGCCACTCATTGTTATGACACTGAAAAATAATTAGAGAACAAAGAGAAGGTAAATTGCTCTGTAGAAACAAAAAAGTTGCTGAAACATGATAATTTTACACACAGCTGGTACTTCAGTGACTCAGACACACACCTGTATCTCCACCACCAAGTGGAATGTATCCGCGTGTGGGACTAAAGTAAAACTGCCTCGGCATAGGGTCAATAACTGGCTCCTGGCCATGTCTTGGGGGTGATCTTGATCTGCCTTCTCTACTTCCTAGAAACAAACAAAGACAATAATAAAGTTAGAGGCAATGCCATGGCAGATACTGCTGATGGAGTGTAGGGACTTTCACATAAGCTTGGCTACAACAGATGATGTGGGAGGCCAGTCTCATCCTAATTGCTTTTCTTCCAGGAAAATCACCAATAGTTCTACAAGCAACTGTTAACCCAGAAGACATGCAGTTTGTAGAATTGATGTAACAGCTGATTCACTTAGGCTCTTCCGTAGAACAATCTGTACTGCAGTGGATTCCAGGTCACTATGGCCTGGAAGGCAATGAAATAGCAGACAGATTGGTCAGAAGCGGCAGTGACATGGTACAGGCAAATAATGACTAAACCCACCAAGAGACCAAGATATTAATACAATCTAGTATCTAAGAAAAGGTGGCTGGATACACATACTAAATTTTCACCTCAAGACTCGCTTCATCTCCTCTCTTTTGAGAAGGAAAATGTGTTACACTCTGACTCAGGACAGGGCACAACACACTTTGTCAACATATGTTCAAACTTTTCGGTGTAGAAAACAAGGAGATATGTCCCTGCAGCTTGCACCAGAAAATGCTGAGCACGTGCTCCAACACTGTCAACTGTATGCTGACAACAGAGACAAAATCTGGCCCATTCCAGCTACAATGAAGATAAAGCTGTATGGTACATGAGGCGATATGGACTGCAGGATAGTGTCATATAAAGGCTTCTGGCCTCCTGATGTAAGTTTTGTGACAGAAGGATCAAAGAAGAAGAAGATCAGATAATACCTTGTGATTTTTTATCAGATAAAAACAAAAGTAAATTACCCTTTTCATGCCAGTGGCACATCGGGCAGATGGTTCTAGACCTTAGTTAGTTAGTTGGTTAGTTAGTTGGGTTATCCTCATTGCACTCTGGACATGTCCATAGGTGCTCAGATCCTCCCCTCAGTATGAACCCCAAAGTCCGATGGCTAATAGTACCAGTTCTATGTTGATTAACAAGTCTTCTGACGTGTCTGGTGTGCGTCTCGTTTTTTGCTGTGCCGATCTTAATTCTCAAGTCTGCCATTCTGGCGAGTGATGTGGATTCACTGCCACCAAAGTCCTCTATCCTTCCCATTTCTCTGAGGGCATTGATAATATCAATATCTGGACCTAGATTTTATTTAGACAAAGCTTAATATACCACCTGGCAAAACAGCATGCTGGCCAACTTTACTTCCCATAACATTTCCTAGTGCCCATTTTAGGCTAAACTGGGAGCCATGATCTTTTTTTAAATCCACTTAGTGCCTATTCATCATCATCAATAAACAGGTTCTTTACCAACTGTCGCTCTTATCACGGCATATTAAACTAAAATTTTTACTTTAATGACACCCTCTCTCTCAAAATACAACCACTCAGATTATTCTGATCAAAACGTTTACTGCACACTTGTTAAGTAGGTTCCCCTCCCCCCCCCCCTTTCCGGTGCTCCAAAAGGGTCCTGAAACCCACAAGGGGGAAGGCAGAAATGAAGTCTGCTATTAAAACAGACATGTCAGTACAAACAGACATTTAAAGTACATACTTGCAGACTCATTTAAGTTGGTGAGAGAAGACTTTGCTGCAACTCCTTTCTTGGCATTTTTGAAGTGGAGATAAGGATCTCTGATTGTTGTCCTGCCACGCAGGTATTCAGGTTTACCGTAAGTTCTTACCCGAGTTGCTTCATCCTTGATGGCTGCCGGCTGGGTCACACATAAAAAATAATGAAATATGAGACAGTTTAGTCACACAGAAGCAACAGCTAACAAATAACACTGGAATAATGATTAAGTCACATACTTTTACAAAGCCATAGACTAGTGGAAGAACCATTTCCACATTAGAGAATATAGTGTATGTTAGGTATTTGGTGCTTGTTGTGTGTCGAATCTGTGTTGAATTGAGAACAGTTATGTCTTTGTTATTTTTACTTAACAGAATGATACCATCTGAAAAATTCAGATCTTCCAGTTGTCGATTTTCTACCCAATCAATTCCAGTACTACTTTTGCAAAACATTTTTTCATTACCCAATCAATGGCTGCTCCAAACAACGAGGGTAATAGAATGCAGTCTTGTTTCACTCCAGTTTCCATAAAAAACCAGTCACTTATAAATATAAATAAATATGCCTGTCAATTAAGTTTAGTTAATGAATACTGCACAGATTATGTATTAATTAAACTGTATCTTGGAGTTATTGTTTTTATATATTAGACCCAAGCATTCAATACTTACAGTAGTAATTTCTGTCAATACAACAAGCTAGGGTTATGTTAAGTTTTACTTACAGTAGTAATTTCTTACAATACAGCAAGCTAAGGTTATGTTAATTTTTACTTACAGTAGTAATTTTTTACAACAAAACAAGCTGAGGTTATGTAAGCTTATACTTACAGTAATAATTTCTTACAAAACAAGCTAAGGTTATGTTAGGTTATACTTACAGTAATAATTCCTTACAATACAACGAGGTAAGGTTATGTTAATTTATACTTAAGTAATAATTTTTTACAATACAACAAGGTAAGGTTATTTTAGGTTAAACTTACAGTAATAAATTCTTATAGTATAAAAAGTTAAAGTTGAGTTAGGTTGAGTCGAGAAGATCGACTTCACCGTGCCAGGTTTTATACCATATAGCTCAGACTCTCAGCGAAATGGCCAGCCGCCTGCTGAGAGTGTAGCACACAGCACAAACTCCACAGCTTTGGGGACATTCCCCATGGATCTCTGTAAAAACTGATTTTATGTGCAGATTGGTGCAGCCCTGAAACGAACCCATGACCTTCTGAGAGCAAGGCAAACAGCTTGCCCACCTCGCCATGGAGACCCCCCACATTACAAGTTAAGACAGTAACTTCCAGGTTCTGAAAGTGTCCTTTCTATTTCTTCGTTAACCCTTAAAAAGATGGTTTGCACACTGTTTTGCGGTTTACAGCCTGGCTGTGATATCTGTACCTTTTGGCCCATAACCAACTTCTGATTTCAGCAAATCCCTAATTAGCGACCTTTTGTGATGTGCTTCTTAGAGATAATGGGTCTATTGACAACTTCCTCTTCAAACACTTTCCCTCAAAGGGGTCCCCAGGATCCACACTGGGAGCGTTGATTTCAAACTCAGTATTTAAAGAGGATTCACAGTCAAACACCAATAAACCCACCAAAGCAACCACTACATGAATATAATTCATACCTTTAATGGCAGCCTCACTTTACTTCCTCGGTTTTCTTTGCCTTTATTATTCACATTTGTTGTGGTCAATGAATTTGGCTTACTGTATGACAACCTGGCACTTCTGTCTGCCTGACCTTTCAGAAGAGCACTTTTGCCTTGCTCCAGCTTTCGCTTGGTTGCTAATTCTAGCTCTTGTTGAGCTGCCAGTTTTTCAGCTTCTGCTAGAGCAAGTCCTCGGAGCACTCCTCTCTAAAAGATGGAGGAAGAGAAATATCAACAACAGCCATAATGTTAACAAATATGCAATAGTTTACAAACCTCCACTTATTGTAAATGGGAGCGGCCGTGGTGTAGTGGTTAAACACTCACCCGAGGATCTGAAGGTTGTGGGTTCAGGACCTGATGGGGCTGAACTTTTTTTTTTCAAAATATGACCATGGCTTCCAGGCCGACCCTGTCTTAAATGGGTATCAGGTAAAGTCCTGGGAAGTAAATGCAGCTTGCAAGATGTTGCTAACATCACCTGCTAAGTGCCAATTAGTCTATAAAAATAGGTCTAATCCTGTATGTCTAATACACCTGAGGAAGGGATCGTAGCATTATGGACTGAATGGTTTGATGGTTAACTTTTTATACTATAAGAATTTATTACTGTAAGTATAACCTAACATAACCTTACCTTGTTGTATTGTAAAAAATTATTGCTGTAAGTATAAATTAACATAACCTTACCTCGTTGTATTGTAAGGAATTATTACTGTAAGTATAACCTAACATAACCTTATCTTGTTTTGTTGTAAAAAATTATTGCTGTGAGGATAATCTGTTGACTAGCTAATGCAGTCAATTAGTCAATCAGCATGTCAGTCACTCAATCAGCATGTAAGTCAATCAATTGACATGTCAGTCAATCAATCAGCATGTCAGTCAATCAATCATCATGTCAGTCAGTCAATCAGCATGTCAGTCAGTCAATCAGCATGTCAGTCAGCCAATCAGCATGTCAGTCAATCAATCAGCATGTCAATCAATCAGCATGTCAGTCAATTAATCAGTATGTCAGTCAATCAATCATCATGTCCCTCAATCAATCAATCATGTCAGTCAATCAATCAGCATGTCATTCAATTAATCAGCATGTCAGTCAATCAATCATCATATCAGTCAATCAATCAGCATATCAGTCAATCAATCAGCATGTCAGTCAATCAATCAGCATGTCAGTCAATCAATCATCATGTCAGTCAATCAATCATCATGTCAGTCAATCAATCAGCATATCAGTCAATCAATCAGCATGTCAGTCAATCAATCAGCATGTCAGTCAATCAATCAGCATGTCAGTCAATCAATCAGCATGTCAGTCAATCAATCAGCAAGTCAGTCAATCAATCAGCATTTCAGTCAATCAATCAGCAAGTCAGTCAATCAATCAGCATTTCAGTCAATCAATCAGCATGTCAGTCAATCAATCAGCATTTCAGTCAATCAATCAGCAAGTCAGTCAATCAATTAGCATGTCAATCAATCAATCAGCATGTCAGTCAATCAATCAGCATGTCAGTCAATCAATCAGCATGTCAATAAATCAATCAATCAGCAGGTCAATCAATCAATCATCATGTCAGTCAATCAATCATCATGTCAGTGAATCAATCAGCATATCAGTCAATCAATCAGCATGTCAGTCAATCAATCAGCATGTCAATCAATCAGCATGTCAATCAATCAATCAGCATGTCAATCAATCAATCAGTGTGTCAGTCAATCAATCAGCATGTCAATAAATCAATCAATCAGCAGGTCAGTCAATCAATCAGCATGTCGGTCAATCAATCAGCATGTCCTTTACAGAAAACCTGAAAGTCACTCTTTCTCTAGCCAATTCTTTAGCCATGTGTGTTTTCACAGCTGATGCATCCTCAGTATCTTGTATCCACCTTTGCGGTGGTTGGCCTCTGCCTCGCCTTGCGGACACTGCACCCTCCAGCGCTGTTCTCTCCTGACCACCATGGCACTTGACATGTCCAGAATACTTCAGCTTTCAGGAAGGATGTTGTTGATGAGCCAGTTCTCCTTGACGCTCAAGTCACGCAGGATGCCATATTTGTCTCCTTCCTGGTCAAGTATACTCTTAACAAAATTTCACTAACTCACAGACAGACCGACTTAGACTGAGTGACTGACTGACTAAGTTACTAACTGAGACTGACTAACTGACTGACTGAATGAGACTGACTGACTGAAAATGACTTCTTTTTCTTCTTTAGGCCCTCTTTTACTTCTTCAGGTGTCGAGGAAGATATAAGGTCTTGCTTTGTGCTCTTCTGGCTGCTTCAACCATTGACACATTGTGGTGCTGTAGAGTTTATCCGATGTTATCTTCCCATCTTCTTCTTGGTCTACCTCTTGCTCTATGCCCCTCTCCTCTTTTGGTATATGCCTTGTATGGTATAGCATCAGAAGGCATTCTCTCCAAGTGGGCAAACCATTTGATTTTTAACGACTGACTGAATAACTGACTGAGAGTGAAAGACCGAAAATGACTGACAGACTGTCTCAGAATGACAAATAGACTGACTAGCTGACTGCGAATGACTAACTGACTAACTAACTGCTCTATAAAACATATGAGCCAAGCACCACATGCACGATACCTCAGTGGTGTGACAGTGTGCTCTACTGGACTCGGCTGCTGTTATGGCTTACCTGTACATCTCCTTCCAGAGCAGAAATCTTCTTATTCACCAGTTTCTCAATTCGTAACTGATCATCATTCACCCTGTAAAAATGAATGTAGTTTTATTGTGTTGATAAGTAATAAAAAGATATTTTTTAAATAACATTAACCACACACCCACACACACACACACACACACACAAATATATATATATGTATAACGTTGCAGATTTTGCTTTATATATATATATTATTTATATATATATAAAGCAAAATCTGCAACGTTATTTCTCTAGAACCCACAGGAAAATAGGCAGTGATCTAAAGACACACAAAGAAGAGAATTATTAGAGACAAAGATTAATAATTATCTGGCAGCCTGAAAGTCTAGGGTTCAAATCTGCATATATCTGGCCAACTGTTTTCAAAATTTATTTGAGCTGCCAGATCGACCTAGCCTAAAATGGTTACCAGCGGTAGTTAAGGAACCTGGCATGATGCTTGCCATGATTTGTTCTTAAAAATATAATTCTTGTACTAAGTGCCCAATGTGTCATAGGACTCATAGGCATAACAAATCCTTTACTTACTTATGCTCCAATAAAGACAGGAAAGGTAATTTATACCTGGCTAGTCCCCTTCGATTCTACCTAAAGAGATGAAATCAAGGTGTACAATTTCTGAGTTAGGTTGAGTTGAGATAAGAACTGATATAATAACACACCGTTCATTTCCATAAGTGCTCAATCCTCTTCTTCAGCAGCCAGTTAAGAGTTTCAGTTCTGATGGTGCCAGTAGTAGGCTGATTATGGAGTTTCTCATGGTGAATTGATGCATGACAAGCTTGACATTGGAAGAGCCCTTTGGGGGGTGAGTGAACAGTGCGAAAGCTCAGATGGATCTGAAGAGAGTATTGCGAGCAGGGACCAGAGGATCTGGTCGACCATCAGCACTCAAGGGAAAGGTGACATGGATATACAATCAGACTGTTTTTAATACCATGGAATGGGAACTCTGCGCTTGCTGCTGAAGATGGGGATAGACGGCTTATGGGATTGTCCCGAGTGCCATGATGTTGATTTTTAATTAAACATTAAACTTTCCTATTTCTGCTGAATACATGCCTACCAAATATATGCCTACCATTTGCTTACATACAGTATGAATGGCTAACAAATATATGCCTGCCATTTGCTTACATACAGTATGCATGGCTACCAAATATATGCCTACCATTTGCTTACATACAGTTTGCATGGCTACCAAATATATGCCTACCATTTGCTTACATACAGTACGCATGGCTACCAAATATATGCCTACCATTTGCTTACATACAGTATGCATGGCTACCAAATATATGCCTACCATTTGCTTACATACAGTATGCATGGCTACCAAATATATTTATAACAAATGCATGTCTTCTGATTACATGTATTCAGTGATGACAAGACTCACCTATTAGACTGATTACATATATTCAGTGACAACAAGACTCACCTGTTAGACTGATTACATATATTCAGTAACAACAAGACTCACCTGTTAGACTGATTACATATATTCAGTGACAACAAGACTCACCTGTTAGACTAATTACATATATTCAGTGACAACAAGACTCCCCTGTTTGACTGATTACATACATTCAGTGACAACAAGACTCACCTGTTAGACTGATTACATACATTCAGTGACAACAAGGCACACCTGTTAGACTGATTACATATATTCAGTGACAACAAGACTCACCTGTTAGACTGATTACATACATTCAGTGACACCAAGACTCACCTGTTAGACTGATTACATATATTTAGTGACAAGACTCACCTGTTACACTGATTACATACATTCAGTGACAAGACTCACCTGTTAGACTGATTACATACATTCAGTGACAAGACTCACCTGTTAGACTGATTACATACATTCAGTGACAACAAGACTCACCTGTTAGACTGATTACATACATTCAGTGACAACAAGACTCACCTGTTAGACTGATTACATATATTTAGTGACAAGACTCACCTGTTACACTGATTACATACATTCAGTGACAAGACTCACCTGTTAGACTGATTACATACATTCAGTGACAACAAGACTCACCTGTTAGACTGATTACATACATTCAGTGACAACAAGACTCACCTGTTAGACTGATTACATATATTTAGTGACAAGACTCACCTGTTACACTGATTACATATATTCAGTGACAAGACTCACCTGCTAGACTGATTACATACATTCAGTGACAAGACTCACCTGTTAGACTGATTACATACATTCAGTGACAACAAGACTCACCTGTTAGACTGATTACATATATTCAGTGACAAGACTCACCTGTTAGACTGATTACATACATTCAGTGGCAAGACTCACCTGTTAGACTGATTACATACATTCAGTGGCAAGACTCACCTGTTAGACTCACTCCCAAGCAGCGTAGAAAACAAGTGAACATCTCTTCGTGACCGGACAACCTGGTCAATGTTGTTCTCCAGGGTCAGTCGTGTTTCCTCAAGATGTCGCAGGACATTCTTGGCTTCCTGAAAGTTGTCAACATTCTCCAACAGCTTCTTCTTCTGCCTGGAGTGGTGACCAAGCTTTGGATAAGGACTTCCGGCCTTTTCTGGGTACTTCTACAATCAGAGATGGTTAGCAAACACAGGTATCATAAAGGAAACAGTGATCACAATTAACAGGAATTCTCATGTGTAACTCTCATGTGTAACTCTCATGTGTAACTCTCATGTGTAACTCTCATGTGTAACTCTCATGTGTAACTCTCATGTGTAACTCTCATGTGTAACTCAACGAGTTCCAGTGTATTTGTTATCAAATTCTGACTTGCTAAAACTTGTTTTACAGTATAATCAGAAAGTAATCCCACAAGATAAAAGAGATAGAATTAATGAATGAACAAATTAATTAATTAATTAATCTTCTTCTTCTTTGCATTCACCGGCTGAAAACTCTGGCAGAAAGTTCTGGTTGTTCGTCCAGTTCTGGACTGCAGTCCTGTTCCAGAATCAGAGTGTTGCATGTGCATCCGTTTGACAGATCTAATTTGTATGCAGACTGTTGGTTCCTTGCCTCTCAGGCAGATGCACTCCGACTTCAGAGGAAGCTCCCAATTAGACGTCTTACGACATGCTTTTGGGTAGGCAGTGGGTCTGTTCTTGTTTTCCCTATAATAGGGCCCCGGAACACACAGGGACAAATTAATGAATTCAGAATTAATATCACTGCACTCAGGATATTCCAGTTGCTACCTGATTAATGTCCCCCCACCCCCCCACCCCCACCCCCCCCCAATGCTCAATATCTTCTAAAACCTCCCCCCCCTCCCCCCCCCCCCCCCCCCCCCCCCAGTGCTCAATATCTTCTAAAACCTCCAACCCCCTCCCCCAGTGCTCAATATCTTCTAAAACCTCCAACCCCCCCCCCCCCCCCAGTGCTCAATATCTTCTAAAACCTCCAACCCCCCCCAGTGCTCAATATCTTCTGAAACCTCCCCCCCCCTCCACCCCCACCCCCGTGCTCAATATCTTCTTAAACCTTCACTCCCCCCCCCCCCCCCGCCAGTGCTCACTATCTTCTACCCCCCCTCCCCCACCCCCCGCCAGTGCTCACTATCTTCTTAACCCCCCCCCCCCTCGCCAGTGCTCACTATCTTCTAAACCCCCCCCCCCCCCCGCCAGTGCTCACTATCTTCTAACCCCCCCCCCCACCCCCAGTGCTCAATATCTTATGAAACCTCCAACCCCCCCCCCCCCACCCCCAGTGCTCAATATCTTCTGAAACCTCCAACTCCCCCACCCCCACCCCCAGTGCTCAATATCTTCTGAAACCTCCAACCTCCAACTCCCCCCCCCCCCCCCCCCCATGCTCAATATCTTCTGAAACCTCCCCCCCCCCCCCCCCCCCCCCTCCCAGTGCTCAATATCTTCTAAAACCTCCAAACCTCCCCCCCCCCCCTACTTTTCTCTTCCCCGGTTCTCTTAGAGTGTCCTAGTTTTAATGAGGCACTTTATGTATCAGGATCAGTTTTAATGAAGGCACTTTATGTCTCAGGGTCAGTACATCCCAACATTATCCAGTCCTAGTTTTAATGAAGGCACTTTATGTCTCAGGATCAGTACATCCCAACATTATCCAGTCCTAGTTTTAATGAAGGCACTTTATGTCTCAGGATCAGTACATCCCAACATTATCCAGTCCTAGTTTTAATGAAGGCACTTTATGTCTCAGGATCAGTACATCCCAACATTATCCAGTCCTAGTTTTAATGAAGGCACTTTATGTCTCAGGGTCAGTACATCCCAACATTATCCAGTCCTAGTTTTAATGAAGGCACTTTATGTCTCAGGGTCAGTACATCCCAACATTATCCAGTCCTAGTTTTAATGAAGGCACTTTATGTCTCAGGGTCAGTACATCCCAACATTATCCAGTCCTAGTTTTAATGAAGGCACTTTATGTCTCAGGATCAGTACATCCCAACATTATCCAGTCCTAGTTTTAATGAAGGCACTTTATGTCTCAGGATCAGTACATCCCAACATTATCCAATACCCTGTAGTGCTGGTCACTCACAGGAATGGTCCTACAACGTTGCATAATCATCATCATGTGCCCTACCCAAAATCCTAGGTGGTCATGTTTTGCCATCTCACATGATAACCAGAATCACAGATCAGGCCAATGCTCTGGTCTTGGCCCTTCCAAATGGTCAAGCCAATCAGGTATTTATCTGTTTGCCTCCCTCTTGCTCTTTTCCCATGAATCTTGGCAGTTATAGCAAACTTCTTCAACCCTCTCATTCTCATAACAAAGTCTTAAACACAGACTGTCTTTGTCTAACAACTCTAATCAGTTTACCGGTTTTCACCCGTCTATCATTTATAATCATCAAGGGGGAGTCAAGCTGTTGTATGTCTTCAAACAGAAAGTACCATGTTCATTATATCCCTTTTCAATTTTCTGGAACAAACGCTGGCTGCTAAGATTCTCAACCCAATTTTGTGACTAAATGATTTACTGAAGGTGAGACCGTTAATGTTTTTACTTGTTTTCCAGCCGTTTGAGCTTTCTACTTACATCCTTCTGTCTTCTTCTGTTCCTCTCATCTATCTTTTCTGTTGATATGCCCCATAAACTTGAATTGTGTTTGTTTTTTCCATTGTAGTTTTAAGAACTGATGATCAATTCATTATAGTTTTTATGACTGATGATTGATTCTTTACAGTTTTGATGGCTGATGATTGATTTATTACAGTTTTTAAGACTGATGATTGATTTATTAGTTCTGATGACTGATGATTGATTTATTACAGTTCTGATGACTGATGATTGCCTCATTACAGTTTTGATGAATTATGATCGATTCATTATGGTTTTGATGACTCATTATAGTCTTAATAATTGATGATAGATCTACTACAGTTTTGATTACTAATGATAGATTCATTATAATTTATATATATATATATATATAAAATCTATCTATCTATCTGTCTGTCTATATGTCTGTCTGTCTATCTGTCTGTAAGTCTGTCTGTCTGTCTATATGTCTACCTGTCTATATGTCTGTCTATATGTCTGTCTGTCTATATGTCTGTACGTATGTCTGTCTATATGTCTGTCTATATGTCTGTCTGTCTGTCTATATGTCTGTCTTTCTGTCTGTCTGTCTATATGTTTGTCTGTCTGTCTATATGTCTGTCTGTCTATATGTCTGTCTGTCTGTCTGTCTGTCTGTCTATATGTCTGTCTATATGTCTGTCTGTCTATATGTCTGTCTGTCTATATGTCTGTCTGTCTATATGTCTGTCTGTCTATATGTCTGTCTGTCTATATGTCTGTCTGTCTATATGTCTGTCTGTCTGTCTATATGTCTGTCTGTCTGTCTATATGTCTGTCTGTCCATATGTCTGTCTGTCTTTCAAAAACAAAATCTTACCAGATATTGATCTAGTGGAGCTGGCCCCAGGTCTACCTCTATCTGTACATACAAAAGTATAGTTCTGTACATTACATAAGAAATGACATGCCAGCTTAAGTATACTTTATCATATGTATTTGTATAACATAAGAAATGACATGCCAGCTAAAGTATACTTTATCATATATATTTGTATAACATAAGAAATGACATGCTAACATAAGTATATCTCACTATGTGTAGGTGTATAACATAAGAAATGACGAGACAGTATAAGTACACACCATCTGTGTATATGTGAGTAAGCAGTCAGCAAAGGACCCACTTCAATCACGGGAAGTGTGCATCAAGCATATGATTAAAGACTCACATTTTTACTGACCAATCAATCAACAAAACTGTGGCCGGCTTTACTTTCCAGAACATTTCCTGGTCCCCATTTAGAGTGAGTCAACCCAGGAGCCCAAGGTAAGTTGTAAATTTCTTCCTTGATGCGGATCTGAACCCAAAATCTTCAGGCTGATAGTCAGCATTTGCTAACGGGTTTGCAATGCTGAGACACCTGGTTCAATTCCAGCTGCAGGTGGTTTGGCAAAAGAGACAGCCAAGTGCCACTGCAATGTATTGATGTAGGCATCCTAAACGGCTGGAACACTTTCCATCAGTTCTACAGCTTCTCTCCAACTCATAGGGTACAAAACCATTTGCAACAATAACCAAGTAATTTGTGTAAAAATATGTTCATACATGGTGTATACAACGGAACAGCATCATGGTTCAATGGTAGTAACCCATAAGTGCTCCGTTCTACTTCTAACTCAAGCCTGAGTCGGAAGAATCTCAGCGCCATGCATGAACTCCATAACACCGGCGAAGATCCTAAAAAACTTTGGGTAGATTTTAAACTCCAAATTTTGCCCAGGCAGCGCTATCAGGCTACTTTTTTCGAATTTCACCTGCCAAGGGATTTTTACGTGTGCAACAATACACACAGGGGTCCGATCTTACTACCAGAGACCAGGAGAAATTAGACTACTCAGCCTCAGCTGTAATGTAAAAATACATTATCTTGCACGTAGTATTTGCGATGTTCAGTGCTGGGTCAATTTTGTGTGTGGCCATATGTGGCAGTATGAGAATCGACAATTTTGAAAGCAATGGCAAACTTATGAACATAAAATCACCTAGTCAGACCAAGAAGAAAATCCCCCCCCCCTCCCCCAAATGATGAGGTTGGTTCTGCAACATCCTGTAATGGCTGCCATTATAAACTAGTCAAACAATGGTACCTACCTTCTCTATCTTGTTGAGACCATCTCGTGAGCCCTGGAATATGAAAACGTAAAGGATATTTATTTAAAAAAAAAACAATTTAGACAATTACTAATAACATACAAATATTCATTAACTGGTGCCTGTACAGAATAGAGGCAATTTAATGGTATGATAGAATAACTACTCTTTAGCTTTGGGACATAATTCTACAAATTCCAGTGAATCTAGAAGAGAAGAAAAGATGCTAGCGTCTGATAGGACACATGTTGAGAAAATCTGAGAAAAATTTACAATTCTAGAATGTTTTTGTGTTGGAGACCACAGGGGCTCAGTAATAAAGGCAGACCATGGAGAAGGGCGCTAGAGTGAAGTTACAAAGACAGACAGGACAGAAGTGAGCTGCATTTGACAGCAAATGATAGGACAATCTGGCGTGAGTTGGTTGAAGGTCTGCGCTCCTTTGGGGGCATCAAGAGCAAAAACAAGAAAAAAAAAAGGATATTTTGTGAAAACGAACAATGAGCTGATTTGAGTCAGGAATTGAAATCATAGCACTCGGGGCATTTCCATGCATGCTCCATCCTCATCTTCAGCAGCCAGCGAAGAGTTCCATTACTGATGGTATCGGTCACAATCTGGCTATATGTCCGTCTCGCCTTTTCTCTGAGTGTAGTGAGCCGGCCAGACCCACTGGTTACCACCCAGATGCCTCATTCTCTCCAGGCCATAAAAATCCTCTATCTCTACTGATTCCGTTGCTGGTTCCCAATGTAAAAAACGAACAATGAACAAAAGAAAAGAGAATACTTAGCTCTATTCGAAAATAAAACACGGAAAATACTCCACAATACTGACGCCTATTTACTGTTGATTTGGATTATTATTACTTTGGAGAGTATTTAGTTCACCATCAGAAAGAGACCTTCAACAATTTTAGTCGCATTCTGAGAAGTGGGAAAACTGCCAGCCAGTTTTATGTCTGACAAATACTAAAGATGAGAAATACAAGAGACTTTCAGATCATAATGTACTTAAGAAGGCCATGTTCAGAGAGCAAAGCACCACATCATTGTTCTCACGGGGCTGTTTATTCCAAAAGCATGAAATTTACATATAATATACATGGCTGTTTCTTGTAAACATCTATATTATCCAACATAATTCCCATCAACTTGTACGGCTTTATACTAGCATGAAATAGGTGCATGTATCCCCCCCCCCCTTTTTTTTTTTTAAAATGTATCGCTGTTTATTGGTCACACTAACAGTTGTTCAACGTATTGTTTATGTCCTCACGTTGTCTCAGATATTTAGATTCAGATACAGTTTCTGTACCATTGTGGATGTGGTACCAGCAGGTCTTCATGGCACCAAACATAGCTGGAAAAGTGAAGCGGTCATTGTCGTGCTGACTGCCTGACCTCCCGGAACACTTCCTGCAGCTGCTGATATGGTTTGGTCAGTTGTCTGAGTGTAAGAACAGCAGACTTGAGATGAGGGTACTGGTCAGTGCATTTCTTTACAAGTTGCTGTGATGGTTTATGATGTTTTACTGGTCAACTTTTCTTTCCTGCGAACATTTGTTTGTGTCTCTTTAGGTGCATGTATTCCTAGTCCGTACCATATTTTGTGTTGACCGTGTAGCTATTTCTTCGCTGCATAAATCACTCTTTCATCGTCTGCTGTTACTAAACAGTCATCACCTTGTGAGATGCACTTTGTCGTTATTTTGAAGCCCCCCACACTGGCTCTTGACAGGGGTCACAATATAGCCCGACCATAAATATGGTCTAATGGCTGAACGGGGTTTCTGGGACCTCTCCACGGTTGATCCTCATCCACATGGTGGCGCATTGTGTCATTGGGTGTTTATCGCTTGTGTGATGTCCTGGTGGGGTAAAAGTCTACTACTACAACTCCTTCATCGTCTTCAAACCTTGTCTCATGCAGTGCATTTTTGAGTGAACCAAACAGATGAAAATCAGAGGGTGCCAAATCGGGACTACATGGCCACCATGGTGGATGAGGTTGTACAATCTAATTGCTTCCCTTGTTACCTACTTCCTGTCCTTTTTAGTATGAAATTTTTTTGTTATTTGAAGCCCTACTCTGGCTTTTGCCAGGGGCCGCCATATAGCCAGGCCATAAATATGGCCTAATGGCTGAACGCGGTTTCTGGAACCTCTCCACGGTGATCCTCATCCACATGGTGGCGCATTGTGTCATCGGGTGTTTATCGCTTGTGTGATGTCCTGATGGGGTAGAAAGTCAGTAAGTCAGTCAGTCCCTTGTTACCAGACTTGTGTGTGTGGCAAGCGAGCACTGCCGTGAAACAAAAGCAGGTCTACTGGATTCTTGTACGACCGAACTCTGCGACAACGGTGACCTAGTGTTTTTTCATTGTCTTAGTGTAAGCTTGCGAATGTAAGCGCTTGTCTCTCCGTTTGGCTTAACATTCACAAGAATCACACGTTCCCAAAAGACAGTGATCATGATCTTTGCAGCTAAAGGAGTTGTCCGGAACTTGTTTGAAATCGTTGTAACTGTGGATGATGTCACTTCATTGACGTTCTTTTTGTCTCAGGTTCACAATTATGTGCTCAGGTTTTGTCACCAGTGTTGCCACTTTGGATGTTTTACATCTAGATTCAGATGTTTTCCCTTGCATTTAGATGGCGTTTTTGACGTTTAGATGGTAGATATTTTCTAGACGTTTTTCATTTGAAGTGAATTAATCAAATCCAATCTAAGAAACAGAATGCAATTTGACCTCTTAAATGCTATCTTGACAATAAAATTCGGCCTGATAAGAGTAGGAAAAGGCTGTTCCACTTATCAGCTCCCTGATTGGGTATTAAAAGAAATTGGAACAGCTAAAGCACACCAGAGTCATTTTGGATCTGAAGCTTCAACTTCATTATCCAAGCTAAGTTTATCCTGTGGATCTTGTAAGGCAGACTTCAGTAAAGACGAGGACATGATTCTATAGGGTAAGTCATATCAATAGCTATGTAATTTGTGACTTTCCATTTTGATGTTTTTTCTAGATGTTTTCTACGCAAATGTAGATATTTTTAGATATTTTTAACTCCGTTTTGGATGTTTTTTGTCAAAGAAAAGTGGCAACACTGTTCGTCACCTGTACCGATCTTGGCCAAAAAGGTGTCTCCATCAGCAATGAAACGCTCCAACAATTCAGAAGATACTGATTTCATTTGCAATCGCAGGTCATTTGTGGGACTTCAGGGAACTCATCTTACGCAAACCTTAGAACCGAGTTTTTTTTCAATTTTTAATTTACATTATCGTTGGTGACAGAACTGCGACGTCAACTGTTGACTAGTGATTACAAGAAATGCTGAAAATAACAGAAATTTTGACTAGAAAGCTCAACAGAAGGAATAGAAAAGACACAGAAGAACAAAACTAAACGTTCCGACCAAAGTCTTTATCAACGAAATACTTAATACAGCACAAACTATGACTGGAAAAACTCAACGCACAAGACAAAAGAGCTAACAAAAATATCTGCGTCAACATGAAACCAAGATGTACGTAATGGGGGAAGAAAATATTAATACGAAGGGCTATAACACAAAACGAAATAAGAATATGTTTTAAAAAAAAAGTTGCGAAACATGAATATGTTAAATAAAGCTGTGTTGAATATTGATCCCTCCAGGACTAAGAACGCTAAAACTATGGACAAAACGAATTTCTAATGAGTAGCGGCTGGTTTGATCACCGGAGCAAGATTTAATAGCAGTGACTAAATTCTCATTTTCGCTATTGGTGGTCAGAACTGTTAAAATGGAGGGAGACAGGTTTGACAGCCTTATTACGAATGTCAGCTAGATGTTCGCGGATGTTGAGTAGTGTCAGCAAGAATAAAGCTCTTAGCGCAGTTCGGCATTTCTGCGTGTGTGGCTGTGGCAGAGATCCACAGAGCGACAGACTACCAACTCTTACGTATCTCCACTTGGGACTCTCTGATTCTCGGAACCCAGTAAATGACTGTACTCTTGTCCACTACACCAGCTTCCAAACACATCACATGGAAGCTTGTGTATGTTCACAACAGTTTCCTTCTCTGCAATAAGAAAAATTCTATTCTATCACAGTTCGCCGTTTATAACGCAAGTTGCTAACATGCTCCATCGACTGATTGTTTACCCCCCCCCCCCCCCCCCCCCAAGAAATTCGTCCCATATGGGGACGTGGATTAAAATACGCTCCCGTTTCGTTTAGGGCAGCCGTATTATCTGACCGGTTTCGGCGCAATAGGATACTCACAATCGGTAAGTGCCCTCCTTGAAGTGTGCAACATTATTAGCTGAGAAAAACGATTTGGTTCCTTACTTTCTGAACGACCCTCGTATAAACAATATGACTATAAACACAGTAACACCTTGTTAAGGCCAATAGGTAGGGACAGAAAAAGGAAGGTCGTTTTTTTTTTTTTTTAAATCGTGCTAAGGGGGACTAATAACAATTGCGGCTGGGATCAAAATTACGTTTATGTTAATCAAGTATTCGTCTTAACCGAGTTGGGTTCGTGTTAACGAGGTTTTACTGTACCAACAAAATGATAAACATAACCAATTACTGTGGAGAAAAAATATAACAAAGAAACCGTGTGGACTAGTAACAAAGGATAAACAGTTAAACTGATAAAAACAAAGACATGCGGATGTCTAGCTTACCCAAATACTATCAGCTGTTTCCTTCTCTAGGTTGGACAGAGTTGTGACTAGCTGCCGCGCTTTGTCTACTGGACTCTGGTCTCGGCATTTGCCCTTGGCGCTGTTGTTTCTGAAGAGATCAATGGGACAGGGTTAAAAAATGGGCAACAGCACAGAAAATGTGCTTGAACTTGAACTTGATTTCGTGAACAAAAATTCAAAAGTACGGCGACGTTTAACCAACTCCTATCTGAGCGACGGTTATTTGGTCGGCCGGGTTCCTTTGTGGTTTATTCTTTAGTGAATCTATGTGATGTGTTGCCACATCTGAGTTTTTGTTGTTGCTGCTTTCCTTTGTCTGCTGCGCTTTGGGCTGTCAATCTGGCGTGGTTCGGGCGGTAAGTTGTCCTTTAGCATAGCAGGGAGGGGGATAACCGTTCTGAAAAGAACAGTTAGCGTTGCCGGGGTAGGCTGTCGTGTGGGGAATGGGTGGGACTGTTGTGGTTCGGTTCCGGCTGGTTGGCTGTGTCTGGCTTGTTCCACAAAGATGGCGGCATACTTGTTAGCGTTTTTTGTTAGTTGTGATTTTTATTGTTTCTGTTGTTTTGAGCTTTGTATGGTGCTACCGGCTCGTCCGTCAAGATGGTGGCTGGTCCGGGTCGTTTGGAATGCATGGGTCAAAAGTGGAGACTACATCGTCTGTTGGGCGTCCCCTGATTCCTTTGTTTCCTTCTGATCTGGAACATCTGTTTATGGGCTTCGTTTATCTGGTTCCACAACTTTTTGCCTCCTTGCACTCAAGGGTTTGCGGACCTCATCGGGTAGAAGACCCTCTTGATCGAAACATCTCACTGTCCCCCAAGATCACTTAGCGGCCCCTCTCTAATCCGAACCTGAACGGGTGTATCTGATTGTTAAAGCTTTGTAGTCTCTCTCTAAAGTCGGCCTCGCAGCTCACCCCAACGGCTGGTGCTATTTCCTCATCGACTACGAGTGCTGGCCTTTCGTCTTTTGTGGGTTTTTTTCGCTTTCGTCATCCGACTGAGCTGGATCTTCTGCATCTGAGGACTGTTCTGTGTCTTCATCTTCTTCATCGGGTTCTGCGGGTATTTGTACTTGTGCTGTATTCAGGCTCTGTTGAGTTTTCGCCAGTTTTTTAAGGGTGCTTACTGCTTCTTTTAGTTCTTCTCCTCTCTTTGTTTCTAGTGCCTTTTCTTCCCTCCTTTCTTTCTGCCGGGTTCTCTCCACGTTGACTGCTAGAAATGCTGCGTTTGCTTCTGCTTTCGCCTCCACTAGGTGAGCGATTTCTTGGAAAATACTTTCGCGTGCTTTCTTGAGAACGGCCATCTCTCTCCTGTGCTCCTCTCTTTCTGCTTGACGGCGGGCTACTTCCTGATCTTGGGCTGTTTTGAGTTGCGTCAGTGAGTCTTTGAGTTTTTCGCTTACTTGGGTCACTTTTGCTAGAAGCCTTGTATGCTGCTCAGTTTCTGCTAGCCTGTCTCCCTTCTGGGCCTTGATTTCGTCGAGTGTTTGGGAGATTAGGCCCAGCATCTCGAGTCTCTCCATGGTGGCCTTCTCTCTGTCTGCTGTCAACTTCTGGATTACATTTTTGAGCTCTGCCATTTCCAGAGCTAGTGCGGTGTCATTTGTGGCTAAGCTAGCCTTTTCAGTTTTCCTCTCTCGTCTTGGTGTTGCGGCTTGCTGTTTGCACATTTTGAGGTAGGAGCAGCCCAGGTACCGCGCGCTGTGGGCACCTGAGCAGTTGGAACACTTTATTTTTGAGTTCGGCCTCCTGAATTTGAAATCGTGGGCCCCTGAGCAATCTCGGCAGATAGGGCCACTGCGTCAGGTCACGGCGGTGTGCCACGCCCTATTGTAGCGTGAGCACTGCATGATGTCTATGGTGTAGGCTTCAGGCTGCTGCATCTTTAATAGGCGGGTGCTGGTGGGTCGATGTGCCATGATAGGGGCAGCCCCCGTGGGAGGCGGCTTCTGGACTGGTGCTGGAGCCTCGTCAAGGGCTACGTCTAAGGCTGGCGTCTGGGTGGATGAGGCTGACATCTCTACAGAAGCGTAAATCGGTGCTAGCATCCTCTGCACCGTTAGGGCTGGCACGACGACAGGTGCAACCTCCTTGTTTGCTGACGTCGATCGGGTGTCTCTGCGCTGGCTCTAGTTCTGATGGCAGAACTAGTACCGCGGCCACGTCCCATCTTGTAAATGCAGGTAACTAGGCGGTGCCTATCAGGTGCTTAGCGAAAGCTTGATATCTGCGAGGTCGGCAAAACTTGTTAAGAATCCCGAAAAGGACTCCAAGTGTGCTCTCCAAACAGTATTCAATACAATCGCCTCGATAATGGTTCGGATACGGGCTGCTAATAACCCAAACGCAGTCGACCAAGATAGCTAGTCAAGACTGACTCCACCGAATATCAAGCGAATCGGTGTCAAGTATCTAGCTATCGAGAATCGGACAACGAATGGATAGTTAGCGGGCGACGAGGCGAGATACATACAAGCTGCTTATCGGGCTGTCGAGCGAGCGAGTGGATTGACACCCGACAGTTCGAGTTATGACTGACCTTGTTCTTGGCGTACCACTCAAAAACGTCCAGTCAATATGGTGGATAGGCGGCTTTACTGATTTTAGTCTTGGAAAAATGTTTGCTTCCGACAATAGTTAGTCGTTGCATTCTCCTCTATATGTAGACTCAAAAGATATAGTTCCGTTATCAGATTCTGAGCTAAGTTCATGGTGCGACACTGAGAGCTGCAGATTTCATTCAGAATGCTTTTCGACCGAGCCCGACATGGTTTTTGTTGTGAATTGCATTCAGAAAATGACGAGTGGCCTATTGCGAGAGACCTGTTGGGGCCGTTTGCGATTTACTGTGTGTGCAACTACCTGTCTGTTGTAACTGCTGCTTCCATCGACGATAAACTGCATTTATAGTGTCGGACTGTTTGTACTGGCACGTCTGACTGCTGCCTTGTACATTTAATGCTTGTGTGTGCTACTGGATTTGCTGAGACTGTAGTCTTTGTCAAGTTTATCAGGAGGGACAATGATAGACATTCTGTGCGGTTGTCGCTGACACAGGATCGGAGCAACTATGACATGGCTCGTTGGCTGTGATGCTGCTGCAACTACCGGTACCTTATAACCTGACTAGTGTATCACTAGAGATAAAAAGTTAGTTGTGTATCTTTACAGGACGTTGTAGAGCCAAACCCAGCATTTGTTGGCTGTTGTGGTTTTTCTAGGCCCATTTACCTCCAGCAGTTTGCCACTGCTGTCTGGACGGTCGGTTTCTCGATACCACTGTCGAACTCGGCATCCCGGCATTACGAAGCGCGTTCGCAACGCCTAAGCCACTGAAACTAGAGATAACAAGTATTAAAGTAACAGATCTATTTACTTAATTATGTAATAACTTTTACCCTCAAAGAAATTGAAAAAAGAATTGTTTTCTAAATGATAACATGTATTGACAAGGCATCAGCATCATTTACAAACGTAAAGGGCATTTTTTCCACGCCTTCGGGCGTATTGGGCATATATGGGTGGACCTACATTTGACAGGCCAATCGGCACTAACTGGGTAATGTGGTCAGCACCACGCCGGCCGCCTTTACTTTCCAGGACTGTACCTGGTACCCAGTCAAGGCTGGGTCGACCTGGGAGCCAAGGTCATTTTAAAAAATGCCTGGTTCACACAGGACCCGAACTCACGATCTTTCGATCCGCAGGCATGCGTCTAGCCGCTAGACCACGGGGACTCCCATCAGCGTTTAAACGCCTGAACAAAATATACAACTCTAAATTGCTTAGTTTTAGAACCAAATTACCTATTTTCAATTCTAGCGGTATTTCAGTTGTAACGCATGCCAGTGACGGTGAGAGAACCATTAAAGACATTAAGCGAAAGTTAAATGATGAATGACTGGTATCTTTCCGTCTTTTCAGATGACGGTATTATACTGCGCTGTGAGGAGGCATAGACCTCACAGGCCATGGCGACGACGAGTGTGACAAGCAAGACCCGCCCGCTTTAAGAAAAGTCTTCTATGAAACTAAATGCCTGCAGACAATTCTGAACATAAAATAGGATGTAATCAAGAGTGGAGAAGAAAAAAAAAAGAAATGTAGGGAGAACCCCGTAGTACGAACGAACGAACACACTTTATTTTCAAAGGGTTAAGAACTGGGCACGCAGGCCCGTCTAACATTCTGCTCTTCCACTCCGCTCCTTGCATACAATTATTCATTTGTACCTCATTTCATAGTTAATAATAGCAATAAGACAAGAGACAATTGCGCTGTATTCGACATATTCTGAGAAGAAAGAATAGACAATTATCAAACAGGCACTAAAATGAGAAATAAATCCAAGATAATATTTTAAAATGCCTAAAAGGATGTTGATGAGAGAAGGATGCATAGAACAGAACGGGTGGGAGGAATGTTAAATGTTGAATTAAGAACCGACATCACAGCACTCGGGACACTCCCATAAGCGCTCCGTCCCAATCTTCAGCAGCAAGCGAAGAGTTAAAATTCCGATGGTACCAGTAACAGTCTGATTGTTTATCCGTCCCGCCCCTCCCCCGAGTGTCAAGCGTCGGCCAGATCCCCTTGTAACTTCTCAGACCGTAATGATCTATCTGTTCCTCGGCACTGTTCACTCGCTCCCAAAGAGCCCTCACAACATCCAGCTTGTAATATGTCAGTTCGCCACCAAGTGGTGCAGAACCGGCCAATCTATCCGCCTGCTCATTTTCCAACACACCGGCATGACCTGGATAGAATATCAAAAGTATGCTAACTACCCGAGACCTCTGAAGTGATGCTTGCCACTCTGCACGGAACATACCTGTCTCCACCTTTCTCAACATGCTCTGTGAGTTAGTTACAATGACGACATGTGTGTACAGCTGATTCTCAAGCCAACGGAAAGCAGCAGTGACTGCCTCCACCCTAAATCTCAAACTAGATGTTGTGATATCATAAGCCAGGCTTTGTTGCGCCAAGCGACGTCCATTCACCTTCGCTATGAACCCCCATGCACTTCGTCTGCCCCTCACAACAGAGCCATCTGTATATTAACGGGTGGGAGGAAAAGAGAAGGA